AATTTGTGGACAAGATATATATATATATATACACACACACATACATATAGTAGGATTAGGGCTGAATAGATTTCATAGATTTATTGAGAGTATTGAGCCTGGGTGATTTTGATAACATTGATATTAATGGTAAAATGAAAAATGTGAAGGATAACTGATTTTTGTAGTTTATTTTTATATGTTTACTGTGACATAGTATTGAATTGTCTACGTGGAAGTGACCAGCTAGCACTTTGGAGATAGAATACATAGAGAGGCTAGAAGTAAGGAGAAATAAATGTTAAAGTCTTTCATGGAGATAGAGAAGGCAATGTGTAGGGCTTAAAACTAAACATTTGGAAATAGTCATATTTAGTGGGATATCAAAGAGATCATAATCTCTAAAGAGAATTAAGACACCATGTCAGAGGGAACAAAGGAGAAGAGATTTATGGGAGGACTTGATTAATAGTATTGTTGCCCTCAGAGAAATCAGATTATGGTAAACAAAATGCTGTTAAATTTGAAGATGAGTTATTTATTTTGGTAATGTATTTTTCTTTTGATGAAAATTAGAGCTGATTCTTCAAAATCACTTTTGTATATGGACTGGCTCTATCTAGCCAGTTACAACAGTTTCCTTTTTATGTAAATTTATCTTGGCACCATTTTCAAATAGCTGCCTTTAGCTCATATGTAATAATGTTACCATAAAGAATTTTCATTATTAAAGGAAACATTCATTCATTTACAAGATCGTCAGCAATGATCTTTTAAAGTAATTTGATGACACCTGGACTATTGGGAGTGTAGATAGCTTCCCTTAAGATATATTTGTTTACACTGTAACTATTTTAATGATTAGAAGGTCGCCAAAGTATGACAGTGACTGTCTTCAGTATCTAGTATACATTCTGAATTAGCTTTATTTTCCCACAGTTGATAAACTTTAAAGGTTCTTCATCTATAAGGAAGGACTTTCTGAGTCTATCACATAAAATTATAAGGGTATTTTAAATGACTCATCATTTTAAATTGTGAAGTATTTTCTAGGTGAGGTGCTCCCTTTTAATCAATGATGTTTTTAAAAATATGAATTAGACCAAAAAATGACACATTATAGATTTGGAATAATTCTCTAACAGGGTAATTTTGCATAAGATAGTTCATATCTTTTACCTTTCTGATTTGTGCTTTGTTCCTTTTGAGTACATACTTCTCATATTCAACTGTATGTACCTCATGATTGATATAATTTAGACCCTATAGTGTTCATTCTAGTGCTTTTAGCATATTTCATTTCCAAAATTGTTCAGTTCTTCCAAAAAGTCTTCCTGAATATCAGGTGTTAGGATTTTAGAATTAGGTAGGACCTTAATGTCATCTTGGTCATTTCTCAGAGAGATTAGGTGATTTGCTCATTACTAGAGAGAACTAGAGAAAAGGTCTCTTGGGTCTTAGGCTCCTTTCCTCTGTTTCCTTTAATTATTCATCTTTCCACTTCACAAAAGTTTTATTAGAAGTTGTGGATAGTATTCTGCCTGAAAAAGGTACTAATATTCTTCATTAAATATGACTATTCTATCATCATTATTTCTTGGAAATATTTCCAGCATTCTAGTCAGTATAATGAGTCCATTATTTTAACTTGTCTGGTTTTTCATCTTTTGCTTTGAAAAAATGAATTGCAGTAACTTCTTTGTCATAATATAGCTGAATATATTTTTATATTTTAACTACTGTTCTTGAAAATTTTGCACTAATTAGTAAATACTATCTCTTGGTTTTTCTCAGCTTTTATTGTGATTTAATGTATATGAGTATTAAATGGTGTTTATTAACATGTATCACATTTAGCAAGCATACATGATTTTATTAGTGGAATAATTCATCTAAAATTTACTTTGAAAATTTATCATTATGTGTTTTTTTTTTTTAATTTACTAAAGTTGCAATAGAACTAGCATTAGTTATATGTAGTATTAAAAAAAATTTTTTTTTTTTTAATCCTCACCCGAGGACATTTTTGCATTTATCTTCAGATAGAGTGGGAAGGAGAGAGGGGGGAAGAGAGAGAGAAACGTCGATGTCAGACACATCAACTGGCTGCCACCCACATGACCCCAACCGGGACTCTCTGGTCTGCAGGCTGATGCTCTAATTGCTGAGCCAAACTGGCTGGGGCTACAGTATTAAATTTTATATTGACTTACTCCCTTGTTAAGCAGTACATTTAATTTTATAATAGACCTAACTTTAATATGGTAGAGAGGATATTTTTTTCCCTTTGGTTTTTAAATATAAACCTGATTTTTTTCTACTTATACATACATATTCAAATAATCCATTAATTTTTTCTTTGAGAAATCTTATGAATACTTTGACCCCAGTTTAAGAAGTTGAAATTATTTTCAGAGAGAAATATTTAACTTTTTTTATTCACTTAATTAATCATAGCAAAAATAATAAAAACAGCTACGGTATATTTAGTATATAGGGAAAGTAAAATATTTTCCTATTTTGTATTAACTGAAAAACTTTGGCTGCATTTTGTAGTTATGGGTGTTGGTTATCTGAGGAGCTGTTACTAAAGATAAATTTGGCATTTTAATTAATAAGGTCATGGTGCTTTTCCTAATTGGTTCATGAGCAATGCAATTTCTTTCAGTGTCATCTTTAATGAAGTAAGATTAATCCAAATACATTTAAATGTATTTTTCCTATTTTTTATTTTATTGAAATATACTTTCATTTTCTCTATATAAAAGTCAATTTGAAGTTATACAGATTCCTTACACAAAGAAAATTAATATCATCCTGCCATATTCACAATGGCATGTGTTATATAGGAAACAATGATCTTCATTAGGTTTGCTGTTTTTTTCTTTGCTTTTTTAAGAGCTTTTCATGTCTCCCAGGTATTTTTTAGAGCTCTATTAATTGTAAATGTGACAACATTGGTAGATAGCATGGGTAGCATGGGTTTAGGGTTGATTAAGCCTCATACTACCACCACCACCACCTCCCCAAAAATAAAAAAAAGTAGAGCAAGATTGCCTAGACATCACATGAAGGATATCCTTTGGCATTGCTGAGTCAGGCTTATTTCAAATCTCTCTCAGTTTTATATTCTTAGAATTGTAAATTTAGGCTTATAATAATATTACAATTCTGGAAGCATTTATTATGTTAGAGTATATTTATGAAGTAACTGCTCTTTTTGTTTTCTCTTTAATGAAAGTTAGTGAACCAAGATAAATAAAACATCTAATGCACATGGCCAACACAATTTCGATTCTTTATCTTGAATTTTTGATGTAAAATTCTTTTCTGAGGTTAACTGGTTGGTGTGGTTACTTATTTATAAAAGTTCATTTAACTTATTTTGCCAAAAAAAAAAAAAACCCAATAAAATAGAGGCTTGAATTCTGATATTTCTACTTGTAGTCTTTCAGTTTTGAGAAACTGAAAGTAAGTTGTATAGCTACCAGTGCCTTCCTGTTAATCTGGAGAAGTAGTTATATTCTTTCTTGTTTTTCAATAGTTTTAAAGAATTTGCATTCAGTTTTCTTCCTCTGCTGTCTTATCCTCCAATTTTCTTCACAACCAAGAAGTGATCCTATTTCACTTAAGATTCATTTTCTTTTATGGTAAATCTTCAAGTATAGTAGACATAGATAAGTTCACTAATTTTCTTTCATATGATTAAATTTTGAGGAAGTTATTCTTCTTTTCCATTATTATCACTATCTGAAATAGCATTAATAAACTTCAGTGGGTTTATTCTTTTCGGCAAGCTAAAGGAAAAACTGTTGTTTGTGGGTTCTTTGTTTTTTTGGGTTTTTGATTTTGCACTTTAATTGTGGTATCTAAATGTATTACAGAGAGCCCTTCTTTTTAAAGCCATGTTTTCTCTTTTGACCAAAATGTAAACTTTCTTGAGAAATGAACTATTCTTCTTTTAAATTTTAATTTCACTTCTGTATTTGGTGAACTGCACATTCATCCCTATGCCATATTTTTAACACTAAAGAAAGAAAATTACCACTTCTCTCTTTTCCAAGCATTTCTTGGGATATTGCAATATTACTAATAAAATTCAATTTGTTCTAGATCAGTGGATACCGGAACAGAGAGGAGGTGTTTCTTACCTGATAATGTGTGTGTGTTCCGATTCTGCTAATCCAGAAATCCAATCGCATTTGTTTAAAATCATCCTTAGTTGTTATTTGTTAGGGAGTCAACTCCCTATTTTAATTTTTTTCTGAAATTCAGTCCCTAGATGTGCTTTAGATAGGGTAGAATTTTTACCTCTTTCAGAACACTGCTAAAGAAGTTTTCACCTGGAACATAGTATGAAGAAGCACTGAGAGCAAAAAAATTCAGAGTGGTGATTGGCCACCTCTGTTTGATTAACAGGTTGCAGGGAGAAACCCATTCGTTCTGGATTAATGGAACTGGAAAACAGAAAACAATTATCAGGTAAAAAAAACCTTTTCTTTAACCTTTGAAATTCACCATTTAAAATATGAGTCAGACCATCAAGGGAACTTACTACCAAAAGGAAAAACAATAGTGTCTTGTGAACAGTGATCTCTGGCTGCTACTTCCAAGAGTTACCAAGGGAAAAAATGCTACAGATACTACTACACATTGTCAGCCTTTGCCAAAAGGGCTTGATTAAATGCAGATTCTTAAGATGTAATGAATGTAAGGTGCAATTACATTTTAAGTCTGGGTTAAAGACATGAAGCAGAATTCTACGGGTGGGGGAGTTTGGTGGTGTTTTATTTACCGAATTGTGTTTGGTCAGTGCTATGGATAACTAGAACAGTTTGGTTTTCAAAGCTATTAATCTGGCATTTTTCATGAATACTCACAAATTTTGTTATTGTACTGTGTTTGTTATACTTCTTCACTTCATTAGGATGTATACTTATATATCATCATAAAATTCATAGAACAATAGTTCTTTTTTTTTTTAATGGCAATTTTCTGATTACTGGTTAAATACATTTCAGATTGAAGGCCAAGGACATGGTGCAGTATTTGACTGCAAATGCTCTCCTGATGGTCAGCATTTTGCATGCACAGACTCTCATGGACATCTTTTAATTTTTGGCTTTGGCTCCAGTAGCAAATATGACAAGGTAGGGTATAATGACTATATAATCTTTTTTAATCTTTTTTAATCCCTGGATGTTTAGTGGTTGTATTGGCTGCATGGGGCAGGGGTTGAGGGGGAGGGATATTTTATGCTTTTAGCATATAGAAGAGCCATATTTTAAATAGTCTGGAGACATGTTTTGGAGAGGAGGGTGAAGACAACGGTTTTTAAATCTTTGTTTTCTGTAGTAGATAATAATTATATCTTATTTAAATAAGTATAAATATCTGTATATTTCAGAAGGAATAGCTTTACACTTAGTTTGCCAAGAGCATTCTAGATTAGAGTTTATAAAGGTGGAGCATATAAGCAGGGGATGGGCAGTATTGTTCATAAAGGAAGTCTTTGAAGTTATGTAAAAGAGTTTATATGAACAATATGCATTTATCTGGGGTACAAATCTGTGGCTTTCATGTGGTTCTCATAAATGTATGGCATACTGATGGTGGCTAATGTTTTTAAATATTAAAGACTATGGTGATTAAAACTTCTTATTTGCAGTAGAGTGGTATACAAGGTTATCATAAAAATTGCGTAGCTCATGGTTTAGTTTAAGAAATTTAAAATTAACCAATAAAATTGTGAAGTTACAGAGGTCTCAAGCATGAGTTAATATTAATAATTTTATATTTCAAAAATTTTAGAAAATTTTCTTGGAAAATTGGATGTTAAATTTTTATATTAATATTATATAAATCATGTTTACTGTATATTTAAGGATTTTCTTAAATTGTTAAGTGATGTTATTAAAGAGTTTAATTTAGAGAATAAATTTATTGAGTGACTGATTACTCTTTGCAAAATGCTAAAAAATACAACACATTTGGTAATTTAAAAAGTAAGATAAAGCAGATAAAATGTGGTACTCTGTGAAAGTAATAGTATCACTGGATGATTTATGCCTGGATTTGATTTTATTATGTAGTTTGGAATTATATAACCTAATTTTTATGTAAACAATTTCTTGTTTTAGAGGAAATTCAAAGCAGCTACTTTTCTGATCATAGAATTCAGTGTAGAAAATACAAGGATTTATTTACAATTCAAGAAAATATGTTCTTTTAGATTGCTGCTTAATATGATTTATGTTAAAATGTTTGCTTTATGTTAGAAATTTATAATGGTAAGTTTTTACTTTTTCAATTTTTTTATCGTTCTTTCTTTTTATAGATAGCAGATCAGATGTTCTTTCATAGTGATTATCGGCCCCTTATTCGAGATGCCAACAATTTTGTGTTAGATGAACAGACTCAGCAAGCACCTCATCTCATGCCTCCCCCTTTTTTGGTTGATGTTGATGGTAACCCTCATCCATCAAGATATCAAAGATTAGTTCCTGGTCGTGAAAATTGCAGGGAGGAGCAGCTCATCCCTCAGATGGGAGTAACTTCCTCAGGTAAATAAATGCTCATTTTCATAGACAATCACATTTTTCTTTTCCTTCTGAAGTTTTATAAAACTTGTTAATTGGATAATACTTTTGTTTTTACAAGTTTTGAATAAATGAGAAGTTTTTTTTTTCTTCTCTAAAGTGTTTTTAATAATGCTTAAGTGTTGCAAGATAATTAAGGACATTGAAGGTTTAAAGCAATAATCTCATCTGTATCCATTTATAACCTCTGGGGACTAATAGGATAAGTTCCTGTATTTGATATGAGATGAGTGAACTTATTTATTCATTCAGCAACATATATGGAAAATATCCTCTATCCTTGACACCTGCTAAACTAATTGAATTAAATAAATACGCTCCTTGCTTTCGTGGTGTAGTTAGATTAATAAACACAGTTATAAACAGATACATGATTAAAAATTGTGATACATGTTATTAAGGGGATAATAGTATGATGTGAGATACTAAGATTAGATAGCCTATTCATATTGAAGATTGTTTTAAAAAGTGATCAACTTTTAATTATTTTTTTAAATTGATTTTTTAGAGAGAAAAAAGGGGAGAGAGAGAGAAACAGAGACATCAATCATTTGCCTCCCATAGTTGCCACTACCTGGGATTGAACCTGCAACCTGGGTATGTGTGCGGACCGGGAATTGAACCTGACACCTTTTGGTATATGGCATGAGCTGCAACCAACTGAGCCATACCAGCCAGGGATGAAAAGTGTTGAGAGCTATTTTAGTCATGTAATGGAGAGTGAACATCAGATGAGTTATGGAATTGAATGAGAGTTTAAATGGAAGCAAGGTCTATAGATACTTTCTTCTCCCATTTTGACAAGAAATGTGGCACTAATTTATTTAATTTTTAAATTTTTTCTTTATTGATTTTTAGAGGAAAGGAGAGAGAGAGATAGAAACATAGTAGATGAGTGAGAACATCGATTGGCCGCCTCTTGCATGCCCCCCACTGGGGATTGGGCCCACAACCTGGACATGTGCCCTGACCGGGAATCAAACCGGCGACCTGTTGGTGCATGGGTCGATGCTCAACCACTGAGCCACACCGGCCAGGCGGCACTAATTTATTAAGTGAAAATAATGGAAGGTTAAATCAAGTTTGAAATTACGAATCTATTATATTTTAGACTAGAAAAATGTTTATGAAAATATTTTAAATTCTCGACTCTAGCATAAGGGACAAGTAGATTTAAATGACACATATGGGATATAATATATAATAAATCTAAATAATGAATTTAGATTCTGTAAGCAGCACAGAAAAAAATAATTTTATTGCATTATAGAGAACCCACTTCTTATTTTTCTTAAAGGATTGGGCATGAAATTTCATGAAGATGGACATATTACATAGGAAGGGCTGCTCTTGGAACTAGACATGCCCACTCAGGATGGAGGGTGTGGAGAAGCATGAAAGGAATAGTCCCTGCTGCTACTCGTAGAGAGTAGTACAGTCCAGCAGACCTGAATATCTGGAGTATGTGAAATAAAAATGTCTCAATACATGGACACAGCATGGACTCAAAGAATCTAAGAACAGGTAGTATTCAAGAAGTCTAGGCAGGCATTCAGATTAGAGAAGTCTCGATTTTCAGAGAAGTCTTGGTCATAGGACTGAAAGGAAGGGGAACTGGCAAGAATCCGATCTTGCCTAAGTGTCCAAATAGATACCTAGGTTGGGATTTTAGGCACAAGGAAATGAGGAAAGGACTAACTTATTAAAATATTATTGCTACTTAATTAATGTGGTTTCTTTTTTTCTTCATTTAATAGTTTATAAAGAGCATTTATAAATTATCTCACTTAATTTTTATATCTATGCTGTCCCAATCCTAAAAGTGTAGAAAATTAAAACAACATTACGTTTTACTCAAGTTAAAGTATATAGAATCACGGACTCAAACTCAGCCTGACTTCCAGTCCATTGTTCTTTCTTCTATACTAAGCTGGCCTTGGAGTAAAAAATGGACTTGATCTTGAAAATGAAATAGATACTAGTTATTAGTACAGGTCCACAAGAAAACCCATAACGCTTAATTGTGGCTTCAAAGTGAATCACAGAATTTTTAAGTGTTCTAGGTCTCAGGGTAAACATTATTTCTTTCATTAAGAGTTACCATGTACAAAAATAGAAACAAAAGAAATACTTTTTAAAAAACTCAGCATTATTTCTAATTATATTTCTACTTGAAAATCTAGATCTATAATAAAATTTATTGTAGAAAATTCCTTAGTGCTAGGTAAAAATAGATAATGACTGTTTTAACAATATATTGGTTTGAATGCGGTTTTGTTATATTTACACTGAACAATACACTTTAAATATATTTCCTCTGCTGTAAATTTTAGCTATATCAAATTACTCATCAATATTTATACATGAGATATTTTGCTAGCTTTATACCTAGAAAGAAGCATTCACAGGCATTTCAAATTTTACCTCTGTCTACTACTTTCTAGCTTTGTGATCTTGGACAAGTTATTTTATCACAACGATTTTTAGTTTTCTCTTTATTTTATAACATAAGTTTAATATATATGTATTTTCCCCTTTATTTATACCTTCAATACTATACTTCTTTATTGCAAGATATCTTTTGTAAATTCTTTTCCCAGCCCACTTTTAAAGTCTGATCTCATCAAATCTTCTCTTCTATACCCTCACACCTCATATTAATTACTCTCTTCTCTACTCTCTTGTAAATGCTTTCTTGTATCTCATAACAGTTTTTTATTCATTCAGTAGGATCGAACATATTTGTATGCCTAATTTTGTGCTAGGTTTAGAATTAGAGTATTAAGATAAATAATACAATCCATACTTTTGAGGAATAATCCATGCTTTTGGTCTTTCTTTCTATATTGGGCTGAGCACTGAGGCATAAATATTATTTGATAAAATGAAAGAGGATAACAGCTAATTTTTTCAGGGTTAGTCTGGAAAGATTTCACAGATGAAATGTCATGGAGATGCCATTTAGGTGCTTGAAGGATAAGACAGTGATAATCACTTGTATATTTGAAGTGGAAGTATTGTGGTCAAAAGCTCCAAAGCATAAAGAGGTGTCCTATTAGGGTAAGAGTCAGTAGTGTCACATGACTGGTACAAGTGAGAGTTGTTGCTGGAAAAGTAGAGTGGGTTTAAAACACACTAAGTTCCTTTGTATCGACTCTTGCCTTCTATCTGGAGTAAGAATACTCTAGCTCCTCAGATGGATTACTAATTCTTCTATTTCTTCGGGTCAACTCAAGTGCTGCCTTCTCAAAGAGGGCTTCTTTGACTTTTGTGACTGACCATAGGTAGTTCCCATCTCTCTTCCTTCCCAAACATTTTTTACAATCTGTATTTATGTATGGATTTATTGTTCAATTTCCCCTTTAGATTGTTAGCTTTCTAAAAGTTGGGGACCTTGATATTTCTTATTCACCGCTGGATCCTCAGTTTCTATCACATAATAGACACTCAAGAATTTATTGAATAAACTAAGCATTAAAGATTTTTGAGAAAGTGGGTAATAAGATTTGCCTTTTTTTTTTAAAAAACAAAAACAAACCTGATCTAAGATGAAATCCTACTTTGATATGACTTTAGTTATTTTGATTTTCTTACCTGCAAATTGGAGTTAATCATACATACCTAAATTGAGTTATTGTGATGATTATATGAGTGTCTGAATCATGATAAACACTAAGGTATCATCATCATTTTTGTTTTCGATAAATTCAGATTGATAGGGACATGTTTCCACTTACTCCCATCATTTACTATTGATCATATTAGGTCTTTTACTCAAGCAAAATTTACTTCTGGGCTCAAAGTGAAGTAAATGGTTTGAGTAGCTGACTGAAGTATCCTTAGCATTTTGTGTCTTATTAAATAGGACTGAACCAAGTTTTAAGTCAGCAAGCAAATCAGGAGATAAGCCCACTGGACAGCATGATTCAAAGACTACAGCAGGAGCAAGACCTGAGACGTTCTGGTGAAGCAGGTATCGGTAATAGCAGCCGTTTAAGTAGAGGTAAGATGTGATTCTTTTAACTGAAATATAAACAAAATAGTCTAAACCTCACAATGATAGAGAAGAAATTAAACAAATTATTGTACATTTATAAAATAAAATATTAGGTGCTGAAATGATCATGTTTTTGAAGAATATTTAATAACCTAAGAAAATGTTCATAATAAAAGATTTTAAACTGTATATAGTTTTTAATATGTATATTCTTCAAAATTATCTTTAGTAAACATGTTGAAATTAGAAAAACTTTAAAAGTAAATTTGTTCAGGAATTTATGAAATGTATTCAAAGCCACATTCTCAAACATCTGATGACTTTGTTGTATAGTATTAAACTTGAAGAGAAAAGTTAAAACTAATTTATGAACCATAAATGTCCTTGGGTTTGCATGTTTCCACTTTTTATTTATTTTATTTTTTTAATCCTCACCTGAGGATATTTTTCTGTTTAACTTCAGATAGAGTGGGAGGGGGAGAGAGAGAGAAACATCCATGTGAGAGGGCCATACCGACTGGTTGCCTCCCGCATGACCCCGACTAGGGCTGGGGACGAACCACAACTGAGGTACGTGCCCTTGACAGAATGAAACCCGAGACTCATTGGTCCACCAGCCAACACTCTATCCACTGAGCCAAACTGGCCAGGGCTGTTTCTGCTTTTTATATAGTTACCCAAAAAATATGTGGTGAGCATTTTTTAAAAGTAGTTGTTTTACATCTTGGGGCCTTAAGATCAGTAGTTATGATTCATTAACATATCTAATCAACTGAATAAACCATGTTTTGTTTTCATTAAACTTTTGCCTATGGTTTAGTTACTGATTTGGTAATTTATTATTTGCCACGATATGAAGTTTCATGTGGAAGATAGTAATAGATTTTTTTTTTTTTTTTTTCTGTTATAAGCTAATGGAGAAGTGTCTCTAAATACAACTTACTATATTTTTCACCAAGGTTCTGTAAGCTCTACCTCAGAGGTTCATTCACCACCAAATGTGGGCCTAAGGCGGAGTGGACAAATTGAAGGAGTACGGCAAATGCACAGCAATGCACCAAGAAGTGAAATAGCCACAGAGCGGGATCTTGTAGCTTGGAGCCGAAGGGTGGTAGTACCTGAGCTTTCAGCTGGTGTAGCTAGGTAAGTGGAGTTGTGGATTTTTATGTATCACAGTTGTTTGTGTTCATTTTTTAAATTATAGTCTTCAAAGTACCTTCTCAGCTCTGTGATTTATTTTAATTTTATGTTAACCAGTAGTATTTTAAACTGTTGATGACTGGAGAAAAGTTAAATTTCAATGTATTTTTTTTCTAGAGTGATTCATATAAAGAATTTGAGGGGAGGATATGTTAAGGTAAATGAGGGAAAATCATAAATTTGGATTAACCAAATATGAAATTTATTGAGTAGCATATTTAAATCTTAATTTGTCTTGTTTAACTGTAGCTTAAAACACTCCATATGTTTGTTATAATAAAGTTTTTAATTTGATTTTACTCATTATTCATATCATTTAGAGGCATTATTTGCTAATACATTATATAAATATTTTATATATTAAGATGATTTGTATTTATCATGTTTAAATTTAAAAGTATTGATTTGATATAATCTTTTTCTCAAGAAGGTTCATGCTATGATGGCACTTTATATCCAGTTTCTTTTGTAATGAAATACTCATGAATATGGTCCATCTGAACCTAGTGAATATGCACCACATACTCTAATTTTTTATGCTATAATAAAAAATGTGAAGATGAAAATGTGAATTTGATTTTTTTATTTTTTAGTTCTTAAACTCAAGAGATAATAGTAATTATGTACAGATTCCCCAACTTATGATTTTTTTTTTTTACTTTACAATGGTGTGGAAATGATTTGCATTCAGTGGAAATCGTACTTCAAATTTTGAATTTTGATCTTTTTTTGGGCTAGTGTTATGTGGTACGATACTTGCTCATGATGTTGGCTGGGCAGCGGCAGTGAATCACCCCTTCAGGTGTGCAATGACGACAATAAACATTCTATACTCTGTTGCCAACATTTTTTTGCATAGGTAGGCTAGGGTAAGCTATGATGTTGGGTAGTTTAGGTATATTAAATGTATATTCAGCTTCTGATAATTTCAACTTATGATGTGTTTATCAGAGTGTAACGCCATCGTAAGTTGAGCATCTATAAAGACTTTTGAATTTGAATATTTATATAGAGTTTTTTTTTATTGGACAATCTTCAAATTTGTATTAGGGTAGGATTAAATACAACTGAAGTATAAATTTGAACAGTAACTTTATCTGATGAAAAATATATCCAGATGTCATTAACAAAAATTAATTCTCAGTATATTTTTAGTTGGATTCTTGTCTAATTTTAAATTCTAATGTTAGGGTTTAGGTGGGTACAATAAATATCCCCCATCTTTTTAACAGTAGTTGAAGTAATTGAAAACATGAAAGAATAAGACAGACCTGAAATCGAATACTACTTTTTATTTTTTATTTTATTTTTTTATCCTCACTGGAGGACATTTTTGCATTTATCTTTAGATAGATTGGGAGGAAGAGAGAGAGAAGTATATCGACGTGAGGGAGACACAGCAACTGGTTGCCACCCACACGACCCCAACGGGGGCCGGGGACAAACTGCAACCCAGGTATGTGCCTTTAGCAGGAACTGAACCTGGGTCTCTGGTCCTCGGGCCGAGGCTCTAACCACTGAGCCAAACCGGCCATTAATACAGTTGTGAACAGTATAGCTTTCACATACATAAAAGTATACTTTCTAGTACTGAACTCCAAATACAGGTAACATTGGGCTACACAGTATTTCTTCCAGTGCAGAAGCAGCTGGTTTACTTGTTTAAAATGCAGAGCAGAACCTGGTCAGTGTGACTTAGTTGGTTGAATGTTGTGTCATGCTCCAGGAAGTCACTGGTTTGATTCCTAGTCAGGGCACATACCTTGGTTTACATCTTAATCCCCACTAGGGTTTGTGCAAGAGGCAGCCAATTGATGTTTCTCTCTTCTCATCAATGTTTCTCTCTCTCTCTCTCGTTGATGTTTCTGTGTCTCTCTGCCTTCCCCCTTTCTCTGAAATCAAGAAAAAACATAATTTAAAAAATAAATAAATAAAAATGTGGAGCAGAAGCTATACATTGCTAAGCTGGTTTTCCCCTCCAGAATTCGTTACTTCTCTTCCCCTAGATAAAAATGAATAGGAATTGAAAAGGCCAGGAGTGGATTGCTAGTTGTTCGTAAAGGTTCCTGCATATGTAAGGAAACATGAGGAATATTTATTTCTCTCCAAATATCCTTCACCTTTTAATCTATTTTTTATTGGGCTTACCCATTGAACTTATTATGATCAAGCAATGCTGTGGCCATTACTTCAAAGGATATTTGGCCTTCCTGTAGCTTTGGCCCCAACACTTAGTACTTATACTTTGAGAATCTTCTTGGGATATATCCTTTGGTAGGTAGTTTCAAGTTTGTCCCTAGAATGCTCTTAAATGGGTCAGACTAATATGTTAATTAAATTTAAATCCAAACACATAGCCAACAAAGGACTAATATCTATAATATATCAAGAACTCTCAACAGTAAACAAAATCATTCAGAAAATGATCAAAGACATGAATAGGCATTTCATCAAAGAGGATATACAGATGGCATTATGCACATGAAAACATATTGAGTACCATTAGCCATTAGAGAAATGCAAATTAAAACTCATAATCTGTGTACACCTATCAGAATGGCTAAAATATAGTGACAGCACCAAATGCTGGAGAGTGTTTGGAGAAACTGGATCACTCATGTATCATTGGTGGGAATGTAAAATGCAACCACTCTGGAAAATAGTTTTACGTTTTCTTAAAAACCTAAATATGCAGTTACCAGTGATTATATTCTGGGGGATTTATCCCAAAGAAATTAAAATTCAGTTCACAAAGAAACTTGTATACTAATGTATAACAGCTTTATTCGTAATAGCCAAAACATAAAAATAACCCAAATGTTCTTCGGTGGGTGTGTGGTTAAACAAACTGATATATCTAAACCATGGAATACTACTCTGCAATAAGGGAAAAAAAAACATTGATACAGTCACTTGCATGAATCTTGAAGGAATTATGCTGAGTGAGAAATCAATATCAAAGTTTACTGTATTCCATTTATGGAATATTCTTGAAATGACAAAAATGTAGAGATGGAGAACTTATTAGTGATTGCTAGACGTTGGAAGAGGAAATCTGAGGAGAAGGAGATAAAGATGGGTATGATAATTACAAGGGCATAACAAGGGATCTCTAGTGATAGAAATGTTCTATATCTTGTCTAGGATAATGAATACGTAAACCCACACATGAGATAAACTTGGGTAGAAGTAAACATACTCTCACAGGAGAAGTAAAACTGGGGAATTCTGTATATTAATGGATTCTATCTGTCAACATCCAGGTAGTGATCTTGTACTATAGTTTTGCAAGATACTACCATTGGGAGAACTGACTAAAGGATATAAGGAATCTATCTATTATTTCTTAAAACTGTATGTGAATCTACAATTATCTCAGTAAAAATATTAATTTAAAAAACAAATTGTCAAGAGCTAACAAAAAAATAAATCAAGGCCATTCTTTTCATAAGATTTAAATTACCTTATTTTCCATTCAGAAATTTGACCAGCTGCAATAGAGATTTTGCAGTTAAGTAAAATGGCATTAATATACACTACTAAAAAATAAAATCATGCCCTGACCAGTTTGGCTCAATGGTTAGAGCGTTGGCCCGAGGACCAAAGAGTCGCAGGTTCGATTCCTATCAAGGGTACGTACCTCCGTTGTGATTAGGTCCCTGGTCGGGGTCGATGTGTCTTTCTCACATCAGTGTTTCTCTCTCTCTGTCTCTGTCTCTCTCTCTCCCCCTCACCCTCTCCCCCATTCTGTCTGAAAATAAATGGAAAAATATCCTCAGGTGAGGGTTTAAAAATAAAATAAAATCAAACTTATAGAGCTGTTCCAAATTTGAATATTAACACTCCCACCTGTGAAATCTCCAGGAGAAATTATAGTTCAAAGATTAAATATCTTTTCAATTCCAAAATTTGAAAATTGTAAAGTATTAAAATAAAAATTAAAATTCTCTTGTGAGTTCAGGTTTCATGAAATCACAATTCATAATTAATGTTACTCAACTTTTTCTGTTGCTCAGTTTCAGCTTGATTCCTGGATAGAGTTGAAGTTTTTCAGTAGATGAATCCTGACCTGCCTTTCACTGAAGAGAGTGTAGTTCTTCCAAAGCTTTAGAAGTTATATTAGTTGTGCCATTTTTTTAAAATAGCTAAAATTTTAAGATTATTTTAGATTATTAGGATTATCACAGCATAAACCCTACCTTGACATACTATTTCCAAAATAAATTCAATTTCTAACCATATGGAACAGTTATCTCAGGAATAGAACCACATTCCCAGAACCTAATATTTGATTCGCCAAAGAACGTAGCAGGTCCAGTAGTATCAAGTTCAAGTAGTCCAAGTCTGTCTTTCCAGTGTTTCAGTCATTTAATGCCAAATGTCCAGAGCACATAATCTATTAATTTAAATTCAGAAGTCTTTATCCCATGTCTCCACCTGAAAAGAAAATACAAAGAGTAGCATTCTTTCTCTGACACCTAATATCCCTTTAGGTGAGAAATCAGTTGTAAAAATTCAAGATTAACACGTGGCTTTTTATTCTCTTTTAGTAGGCAAGAAGAATGGAGAACTGCAAAGGGAGAAGAAGAAATAAAGAACTATAGGTCAGAAGAGAAAAGAAAACATTTCACTGCTCCAAAAGAGAATAAAACACCCACTCTCTCAAAGGTAAATAGTAATTACTTTTGATGTGTAGTATTTGCTTTTATAAGTGAACCTTTTGTAATTAAAAATGTTAACTTTTTAAATAGGATATTTGATTAATAAAGTAAAATTAATATAATTAATTATTGATTACCTCTTTGTATTATCTATTGTATTTGCCATTTAAGTTTTTTAGTTTACATTTTCTGCCTACTATTGCTTTTTGGCCTTTTGGCTAAGATCAAGTGTACATTTCCTTCCTTCTACCAAATGCCATTTTTCATATGCTGATTAAGTCTAATAAATTATATCAGAAGCCTAAGCAAGATCTTTTTTATTATTATTTTAAAATTTATTCCATTGCCATTTGTCCACTATGCCCTCTTTCACCTCTACCCATCCCCCTCCACCTCCTCAATCACCATGAGATCTCTCTTTTTTCTTTTTAAGTAAGATCTTTTTTAGTTCTGCCATTGGTTTCATACTCTAAAGCAGTTTTTTGGTCTTGGCTTTGGTCTTTTCTTTTGCTGTTTTGTACTCATTTGTTATTAAGTCATCTCTGCTGCTCTAAATAATCTTATGTTCTCCATTAGAGAATGAAATTGTCTCTACTAGTGTGCCCTATTGGTTTCTCTGTCGCCCTAATCTGAAAACTTGGATCCATTGGTTTTCAGTTGATCATACAGTAATCTGGGAGAGATACATACTTACCTCCTTGAGTGTCAAAGAGTCACAATTATCCATTCTCAAATTTTATTTTTAAACCAATTAGCTTGAGAGCCCAGAGCCTTAGAATCTGACATTGAGGAAAAATATATTGAACAAAGTTGATTTCTTGACTCAGCTTTGTGCTTCTTTCTTTTATTATTTGAGTTTCTTAAACCTAAATTAGTCTACTTTTCTAGAATTTTCTTTTGTGACTGTTCTTAAAGGACTCGAGTAATCCTTCGCTATTTTGTTTTCCTTTACTAAGGGTATCATACCCTGGGATCAGTAGGACCACACACAGAATTCCTGTTAGTGTAACCTGAAATAATTTTTTGTTTTGGGGGTTTTCTTGGTTGGTTGGTTTTTGTTGTTGTTGTTGTTGTTGTTTGTTTTTGTGTGAATGTTTTAAGGTGGTTAGAAACTATAGCCTTTCCTGTATCCTTTGCTCAGAATCCAAGGATGTGGGAACATAAACCCGTGTGATGATTGTGAGTTGTGTTACTATAACTTGTATAGATGGAATATGGTATTGTCTATTAAAGTTAAAAAGATATACTTATCTTTTTGTCTAATAGTGCTACTTCAAAGATTTTTTTTTTTTAATCTTTATCCGAGGACATGCTTAATGCTTTTTGGGGAGAGAGAGAAAGAGAAACAGAGAAACATCGATTGGTTGTCTCCTGTACTCATCCTGACCAGGGATCAAACCTGCAACCTATTTTTATGCCCTGACCAGAAATAGAACCTACAACCTTTTGGTGTATGGGATGCCACTCCAACCAACTGAGCCACACTGGCCAGGACATTTCAAAGACTTTTTGTTAGAAAAAAAAGTACTCATATATACATGTGTGTGCGCACCTGCCCACCCACCCATGCACACACAAATATTTGTTATTTCCCTGGTTGCAAAACTGGAATAGTTTCCATCATTGGAAGAAAGGTAGAGTGTTGTGCAACATTTTAAAAGAAATAGAGTTTACTCCATTACCTTGAAGAAATGTTCATGCTATATTATTGTTAAGTGAAGAAAACAAGTAGGACAGTAATGTTTATTGTATGACTTCATTTTTATTTTTCAAATTTTATGAGAATGGAGAAAGGCTTCAGATGTACTAAGTTACTGAAGATCATCATAGATGTACAAATTATGAGGTATCATCTTTCAGTTTAGAGTTTCAGCGTTTACAATAGAAGATACTGTGCAGGTGGGAGGTATAAATTAATATAAAAACTGTTTAGAAAGCAGTTATGAAGTTGATTTTTGGTAGTTAGTAGGTTTGGTCCCAAAATTATAATGGCTTAAACAAGGTGGAGACATATTTCTTATCCCTTTGTGTGTGAATTTGACTTCATGATTGAAGATATCAGTGTGTCATCATTTAAGACTACAGGATAGAGGATCAAGTTAGTGAGGAAGGTTCTTTGAAGTTGTTCTGCAACATTGTACCAGATATTCCATTGGCCAAAATTTAGTCTCATGAAACTTCATCAAAGAATATTTTAATTTTTCTGCAAGAAGGAAGAACAGATATTGGTTACAGTTTTCCCTTGCACTGCATTACTTATTAAGGCATTAAAAACGTTCATGTTTTGTGACTTGAAATTTATCCTAAAAAAATAGAAAATTGTGGATAAAGCTTTATAAAATGGAACAATTAGCAATATTTTAGATTGCAATTTATATAGATCTTGAGATGCACACCTTCCTGGTACACATCCAGTATCTTTTTGGGGAGTACAAAGCAAGGCCTAGATTTTTAGGGTTTTTTTTTTGTTTGTTTGTTTGTTTTTTCCGTCTTCTTCCCCAGTATAATATTACTGCCTAGCATAGCGAAGCCAGAGCATGGTGAGGGCGGAGAGCTATAATACAAACAAAGTTATATGACTTACCTAGGGAAACTAATAGAATGCACAGAACAGGTGTTCAAAGTAGCATATTCTCAGAGAGATAGGAGGGGATATTGGAAATCTGATGTAACAACAAGCAGTTTTGAAGAAGATTCTATTAGAGATAATTGGGATGAAACATTGAAATTGAGAACCTAATGAATGGGTTGAAGAAAAGAATATAAAAGCTGAAAAATGAGTTGGTAAGCTGAAAAGTCAAATTGAAGAATTCCCCCAGAACGCATCAACAAGGGATGAAATTATGTCGAGAATAGGGGACATGTAAAAAACACGCATATATATTTGTATGTTTATATAATATGTATATGTAGAGTTTGTGAGATTAGAAGTAGTAATATAAGTATTATTCAGTAAGAGTCTTGAAAGAAGAGAAAATATACAGAGGTTGGAAAGAGTTAAAAATTGTGAATCAGAATTTCCTAGAATTAACCTCTGGCTAATGCACCAAACAGAATAAATAAGAAAAAAATAATGTAAAACAAAAAATTTTAAAACTTCAACTAAGCACATTATTGTGCGATTTGAAAAAATCTAAGAGAGAACATTCTGCAAGTGTCTGGAGAGAAAAAGAGAGTCATCTTAAAATGAACATGAAGTGTTAATAGAATGGATTCCACTGAGCCATTGTATAATCATAAGAGAGACGAGAAAATCGTAAGGAATCAGCACCTACATTAAGAAAATTGGGCCCTGGCCACTTTGGCTCAGTGGTTAGTGTCGGCCTGCGGTCCAGGGAGACCCGGGTTCAGTTCCTGCTAAGGGCGTGTACCTCGGTTGTAGTTTGTTCCAGACCCTGATTGGGTCGTGCCCAAGGCAGCCACTCAATGTGTCCCTTTCACGTCGATGTTTCTGTCTCTCTTCTTCCTTCCCACTCTATCTAAATAAAAAATGGAAAAATGTCCTCGGGTGAGGATAAAAAAAAAAAGAAAGAAAGAAAATTGGCCATAACCCTGACACAGTAGCATTCGTGCCAGTTTCTGGTTGGAATGGTGACAACATAGTGGAGCCAAGGGCTAATACTAACATAGTTGATTCAAGGGATGGAAAGTCACCTATAAAGATGGCAATGCCAGTGGAACAGTTGCTACTTAAAGTTCTGGATTGAATCCTGCTAGCAGCTTATCCATCTGGCAAGCCCTTGTGCTTGCCCCTCCAGGACGTCTGCGAATTTGGTGATATTGGTACTGTCCTATGTGAGGCAAGAGCTAGTGTTCTCAAACCCACCTTGGTGGTAACTTTTGCTCCAGTTCACTTTAACAACCAAAATAAAGTCTGTTGAATTGCACCATGAAACTTTGAAGCTCTTCCTGGGACCACTGTAGGCTTCAATGTCAAGAATGTTTCTGTCAAAGGTGCTTATGGTGGTAAGCATGGCTGGTGAGAGCAAAAATAACCCATCAGTGGAAGCAGGTGGCTTTATGGCTCAGGTGATTATTCTGAGCTTTCCAGGCCAAATCAGTACTGGCTACGCCCCTGTGCAGGACTGTCACACAGCTGATGTTGCTTGCAAGTTTGCTGAGCTGAAGAGTATTGGTTGCCTTTCTGGGAAGAAATTGGAAGATGGCCCCAAATGCTTGAAATCTAGTGATGTTGCCATTGTTGATGTGATTCTTGTAGAGCCCGTGTATGTTGAGGGCTTCTCTGAGTATCCACCAGTAGGTTGCTATTTGTGTCATGAATGGACAGTTGTGGGTTTAAATCAGTAATTAGAGCAGTGGACAAGAAGGCTGCTGGAGTTGGCAATGTCACCAAGTCTATACAGAAAGCTCAGGAGGCTAAATTACCCTAATACCTGCCACTCCATTTCAGAACTGTTTTTCTCAATTGGTCATTTAAGTTTAATAGTAAAAGACTGGTTAATGGTAACAGTGCATAATACAGTCTTTAGGGAAAAGAAAATATTTTGTGGACCATTTGTTGTGTGTGTGTGTGTGTGTGTGTGTGTGTGTGGCAGTTTTAAGTTTTTGAATCAATACATTTTAATGGAAACAACTTGACCAAAAGTCTGTCACAGTATTTTAAGACCCATTGAACGAGAAGGAAAAAAATGTGTGGATGTAATTATAGGTGCAAAGTTATTTTCTATCAACACTTTAAAGAAAGTGTTCTTTTTTTTCTTGTATGATTTATTGTGTGATATAAGTCTGATGTCTCTTTTTGAAAGTAATCTTTATTCTTTTTTTTTTTTTTTTTAATACATCCTCAAAGGTTTTTTTTTAAAGATATAAATTCTTAACGTTTGCTAAGTTTATTTTTCTCGGTAACCATAACCATGTTGGACTTTATCAGTTTTTGTTTTGTTTTGTTTTTATGATTGCTAGTTGTGTTTTCATGTGCTGCAGAACACCTTTTCCACATTCATATGCAGTAGAAGAGAGCCAGCCACCTGGTATTCTAGTCTTATGGCAGGGTAGTTTTGTGATCACCATTTTGGTTTCCAGTTCGCCTCTATTAATATGCTTCATAGCCTGTGGTCCTCTTTCTTATATCTGTTCTATAGGTCCGTATTAATCAAAAGCAAAGTTTTTATAACTTATCAATTAGCAACAAGTGAATTTCAACACATCACAAACCTGTGATTTATCTTGATGTAATGTTAAAATATTTGAGCTGGTAGTCTAATCTAGTTTATGTAATATCATAAATATGAATGGATTTTTGTAATTAAATAATATAACTTTTAAACTAGGTTAGCTCCTTAAACATGCTGTAAATTTACTTTTTTTCCAGAATCATGCTCATGAGCATTTACTGGATCTTGGAGAATCCAAAAAGCAGCAGGCAAATCAACATAGTTACCGTACAAGATCTGCATTGGAAGAGATTCCTAGACCTTCAGAAGAGATAGAAAATGGCACTAGCTCTTCTGATGTAAGATCTCAACACATTCATAACTTTGTTTCCATTTTTACTTTTTTTTATATGGCTTTGCATTCTTCATATTCATTTATAGATGTATATATAAATGTGACTCAAACATGGTATTTCTAGGCCTTATAATGATAGTGATTACTTCCATTTACTAAAGTCCTACTGTGTGTGTTCTAATCTCAGATACACAAAATAAATTTGTATGAATTATTCTCACTTTATATATGTGAGGGATCTGAGGTTCTAAGATGTTTATATTACACATTTACCTAACCAATAAGTGATAGAGCTGGGATTAAACTCAGTCTGTTAACTGTGATAACTAATCAGTAGGCAGTTAGCAATTTTGGCTAGTTAGTTTTTTGCTTTATTTTTATAAGTCAGATGACATTTTATTTTAAATATGTTAATTTTGTTTTTTTAGAGAGGAAGGGGGGGAGAGAGAGAGAAACATCAATGAGAGAGAACATTGATTGGCCACCTCCTGCATGCCCCCCCCCCCCCCCCCCCCGGGGATTTGGCCCACAACCTGGGCATATGTCCTGACCGGGAATCAAACTGGGCGACCTCTTGGTGCATGGATCAACACTCAACCATTGAGCCACACTGGCCAGGCCCTGAGTATATTTTCTATGGACAGGGCAATATTAACTGAAATTGAGGGTATTCTAACCATAATTTATAAGTTAGTCCCTGGTGGCTTTAGGTCTTACTGTAGCCAGGTCAAAATGGTGTGTCCAATCTGGTAAAAAACAAAATTTACTAATTAATCAGCTTGTTGACACATTACAATTTAGATATACATACATAACATAAAATATATGTGGGCTAATTATTTGTCTCATAAAATGTTTATTTTGGAAAGATTTATAGAATGATTTTTTAAATATTAAATTTCTAGAAAATATTTTAAATATGATTCAGCTCATTAGAATCTTAAGTATTCTTAGGTGCATTTGTTACATAGGAAAAATTTACTAATTCTTGATTTTTAACTTGTTTATGCTTTACCATCCTTTTATAGCAATTAAATAAATTTCAGAGAAGTACATTGAGAACAGAATATCGCTTTAGGCACAATGTATTAATTATGAAAAAAATTCTGATTTGTGGTTCAAATATTTTGTGCTTCCATATAGTGACTATTTTGTGTTTATCAGTGTACTTCTGTTTGCCCTCTTTTAAGAATTAATACACTAAGGGTAGGAATAATCAGATCAGTTTTTTCAGTTATATTAATTAGAGATTAAAGAGAGAAACCGAGTGTTTGGATTGTTTTTAATCCTCTACTATTTGGATAAAATAATACTGGACAGGAATATTCTTTTTTTGTATGATGAAGCTATTTAATAATAATATAACATAAAAGTTCCTAATTTTAAGATTCCCAAAGAATCTATATAGAACAAAAGCTTGAATTTTCACAAAGGCCCAAAAGTTTATAGTTGGGAGTACGTGAAACAGTTTATTCTTGTATTATTATTTATTCATTATTCTGTTTTCCATATGAACCTACTTTTGCCCCACACTGTATGTTATTTATTCAAGAGATTGTTCTGAATTCAGTAATAAGTATTATTATATCTTTGGATAATTTAAATAATTTGGATATAGTTAATAGTTAAATATATTGAATAATTTTTGTGTAAAAATATAAGGCCTGTTTTTTGCAACTAATATAAATCAGATTTTAATTTGATTGGTAATATTAGATAATACTGATATTTTCTATGATCATAGAATGTTGTTTTATAAAATTGCACAATAAAATACGTATTCAACATTTCATAGGAAGGTGAAGTTGTTGCTGTTAGCGGTGGAACTTCTGAAGAAGAAGAGAGAGCTTGGCACAGTGACGGCAGTTCTAGGTAATTTAATGAATTTTTATTTCTCCAAATGTAATATAAACTGTTTTAGAAAGCTGAAGTTTCTTTTTACCAGCAGTATTTTTCAAAGTATCTTTGAGTTAAAAGTTGCTCTTTCCCCAGAGATGATATAGTTGTCCAAATTTAAGATTTTCTTCTCAATGTGTTTTCTCTAATAGAAAAAAAAATTGGTTATTGCGGCTAGGACTGCAAAACGATGCTTGATCTTCCTTGTTGATATTTTATTATTGAATGCTGTTATTTCACTGAACCACAAATTAGTTTCATTACTAGTTTTGAGAAATAGTTGAGCATCAAATTATGAAAGTAATGAGATCTGATAGAACTGTCTTATGTAGTGGAATTTTTTGAGTGCTATTAATAATATTTTTCTAGCAGTGAGAATAAACTTTTTTTTCCCTGTTACCCCACCCTATTTGACCATGTAAGTAAGGATTCCTTCAACTCCTTATACTAGCAATTCACATCAGGGTTGATGTTCTTGGCTGACCTTGTAAGGTCTTAGTAGCAAGGAGTGTAGACTTTGGAAATGGTAATTATGTTTAGCCTGTCACACTTGCTCCTTAGCAGTAGTAGCTTTTAAAATAAAATTGTCAGCCCTGGCCGGTTTGGCTCAGCCGTTAGAGCATTGGCCTGCGGTCCCGAGAGACCCTGGTTCGGTTCCCGCTAAGGGTGGGTACCTCAGTTGCAGTTTGTCCCCAGCCCTGGTTGGGTTGTGCGGGTGGCAGCCACTTGATGTGTCCCTTTCACATCGATGTTTCTCTCTCTCTCTTTCTTTTTCTCCTTCCCACTGTATCTGAACAAAAAAATGGAAAAATGTCCTTGGATGAGGATTAAAAAAAAATCATCAAAGAAACCACGAGGGTGGAGGCTATAGAATTCCTTTTATCAGTGTTAGAATTAAGGACTTTCCTATTTCTACAACAGTTTTTCCTAGTAATGGTATGCAAGTGCTCATGGTTATATCTGGTAGTTTTTTTACATTTGAAACAGGGTTGTGAAAAAACATTTTCTTTTGGCTTCAGCCATCTGGGGCAGTGTTGTAAAGGATATGGACTCTGTTTTATAGTTAGGTCTGTACTGGCAGCAGAAGATTTTTCGTAAAAGTTGAGTGCTCCAGAGAGGAACAACTGTCAGTATTTTGCAGGTGCCATTTGCAGTGACCATGGCTGGAATAAGTGTAAATAAATGCTCATAAGTTGAGGATATCTGTTCTTGGATAGATATTTGTTCTGCAAATGCATTTTTACGTTCTCTAGAATCATTTTAAATATTAAAGTGAAATCCTACTAGAAAACCTGTTAATTATTTGAATTTTTATGTGGTGATTATTCTTGGATAGATACAGGTAAATGCCTGTAAAGTACTTTGGGCCCAGGGAAGAGGTGGTGGCAGTGGAATAAAACTCGAGAAATATCTGTCCTTTCAGTATTTACCAGAAATATTTTTAGAATAGTAAGGTCATGCATCACTAAATCTGGGCAAGTAATTAATTGATTTTAACATAGTATAATTTAGATGTAAGGCATTTGTATTTGTAAAACTGTATAAAATCAAGTCATAGTTTCATATTCTAAAATTGAAACAGAAGATAACATAACTGGATTCTTTGTTTTGCAATAACATCAGTTAAGTATAATTTAGTTCTGTTGAAGGTAAATTTGAAAAGAAATGGCAAACATGATTGGCAGTAATACATAAAATAATAAGGCCTGAGGTTTTCTGAATCATGGCATGCTTTGAAGCATAGGATATATCTAAGGTATATGTAAATGCTCAATATATTTTACAAGCACAAATTTCCCACTGAACAAGAATACTTCCGACTTCACCAGTTCAATATTCAGCCTGCCATTAAGGCATCAGTGCTCCAACATAAAAATCCCCCCTGGTAAGAGCTCTCACCTCAAAAAAGGAATCCCTATACCTTCTCCTCAATGTTGACACCTCCTGTGCTGTCCAGGGCTATCTTTCCACTGTTGCTAGAATTGAGGAAGGTGACTCTCTGCTCCTTATTTTTGTATGCCTCCACAATATTTTGAACACATAAAGTGCTAATAAGTTAATTATTGGCTAAAATCATAGAAGAGACTTAAATGCATTGTTTCCACTTGATGTTCTCGCTCATCGATGTTTCTATCTCTCTTCCTCCCTTTCTCTCAAATCAATAAAGAAAAAATAAATAAATGAAATAAAGGCATTGTTTCAATTAAAGCTATGACCTTATTTATCTGATTTTTTTTTTTTTTTTTTTAGCTATTTAAGTAAGTTAAGCCCGTGGAATTTTAAGAAACTGTTTAGAAGATGAGTTCAAAGTTAAGCAAATAGTTTTAGTTCATTAATATGTACTATTTTGTCATTTCTCTTTATTATAATCATTTATTAATTTATTTGGTTTATTTTTTTATTAATCTTTATCCAGAGATATTTTTTTCCATTGATTTTTAGAGAATGAGAGAGAGAGAGAGACATCAGTTGGATGCTCCCGCATGAGCCCCAACCCGGGCTGGGAATTGAACCTAAGATTATTTGGTGTGTGGGCTGATGCTGTAACCACTTTACCACACAATCCAGGGCTGAAACGGAGTCTTAACATGTATCTTGTGTGTGTATTTTTGAAATCCTTTTTTTCTTTTCTAGTGACTACTCCAGTGATTATTCTGACTGGACAGCAGATGCAGGAATTAATCTGCAGCCACCAAAGAAAATTCCTAAGCATAAAACCAAGAAAGCAGAAAGCAGTTCAGATGAAGAAGAAGAATCTGAAAAACAGAAACAAAAACAAATTAAAAAGGAAAGGAAAAAAGTAAATGAAGAAAAAGATGGACCAATATCACCAAAGAAAAAGAAGCCCAAAGAAAGAAAACAAAAGGTTAATTTTTTATTTATATATATGTATATATATAAACTAATGTTTTCTATGAAAACAGAGCACACATTTTAAAAGTGTAGTTGGTGAACATTAACAGTTTAGGTGTACCAACCTGCAAGTAGTAATAGAAAAATTTAGAAGTACACAGTAGTAAAATTGAGTATAGCAAGGCCTCGAATGATGTTGTTTCATTCAGTGTCCTTTTGACATAACATGGATGAGATCCTGTAGAAATTTAACTCTTGTTTATATTAATTAACTTCTCATAAATTGGTTTTATTACACATCATTTCATCTTTGTTGTAAGTTAAAGAACCTGTTGACAATGGTAAGGACTTAACTGTTTACCAAAATGTAGTTAGTTTATTCAAGTTTTAAATGTTCATCATGTGGGAGTGTTTACTTGTAGAATTAATTCTAAATATCGAGCATTCGGTCTTACAACATGAGCAGATTTTGCTTGACAATTCAGTGGGTTTTGTTTATGTATATTAAAAGAAGTAATGCTACAAAATATATAGTTTATTAGTCTTTTAATTATCTTGAATCGTTAACCATCCTTATTTTTATTGAAAATTAACAGAAAGCATAAGGGAACATCACCTTGAATAAGAATGGCAAAACTTGTCATAGTTGACAACAGTTTATCAGTCTTTTACTTGTCTTTAATTGTTAAGAATACATTTGTCTTTAAGTCTTTATTCTTTGTCTCCATTGAGTTTTGTTTGTTTCAGCTTTATAGTTATGAATTACTTTAATTTAGATTGCACTGCCTACTGTTCTTCTTGTCATCTCCTTTTCTTTTGTCTGGAGAAGATTTACCACAGAGAATACCGTGCTTTTGCCCACAGTTTTTCTCTTCTGCCTTTTTGTCCTGGCCGGTTTGGCTCAGCAGTTACAACGTTGGCCTGTGGACCAGAGAGTCCCGGGTTTGGTTCCCACTGTGGGCACGTACCTCAGTTGCAGTTTGTCCCCTACCCCGGTTGGAATTTTGTGGGTGGCAACCAGTCGATGTGTCTCTCTCATGTCGATGTTTCTCTCTCTCCTTCCTGCTCTATCTGAAGATAAATGCAAAAATGTTCTCGGGTGAGGATTTAAAAAAAAAATTATATAGTAATTTGGATTTTGTTCACATGGTTTGGTGTTAGCTTACTAGTGGATCCAACAGTGGATAGAATGTTCTTAATTCCTTCATCTTATCTCAAATAATATTTCTATTTTTGTGCAGAGTTGTAGAACTGGAAATTAACTGAGATCATTAAGCAGTTGATATTATTGCATGTATGAAAATATTTTCCATGTGATTAATTCTATTTCAATTATCAAGTAAGAATCAGTAAGGCAGATAAAGAAAATGCTTAATAGAAAATAGAATTCTCCAAAGATGAAGTAAAGAAATCTCAGATCGTATCTGACATATATTTCTTATGGTTTTAGGAGCTTCGGAAACCAAATCAATAAATTTTTATTATGTTCTTACTGTTTATAAAGCAATACAGTGGATGGAAAGAAGTGTAGGACATAGAATCCTTTTTTTTTTTGCATTTATCTTCAGATAGGGGGTAGGGGGAGAGAAACATCAACTGGTTGCCACCCACATGACCCCAAATGGGGCCAGGGACAAACTACAATCAAGGTACATGCCCTTAGCGCGAACCAAACCCAGGACTCTATGGTCCACAGGCCGACGCTCTAACCACTGAGCCAAATGGGCCAGGGCTGTCATATTAATTTTTTTTTATTTTTTTTTATTTTTATCCTCACCCGAGGACATTTTTCCATTTTTTGTTCAGGTAGAGTGGAGGGGGGCGGGAGGAACAGAGAGAGAGAGAGAGAAACATCAACGTGAAAGGGACACATCGAGTGGCTGCCACCCGCACAACCGACCAGGGCCGGGGACAAACTGCAGCCGAGGTATGCGCCCTTAGCGGGAACCGAACCCGGGTCTCTCAGGACCGCAGGCCGACGCTCTAACCGCTGAGCTAAACCGGCCAGGGCTGTCATATTAATTTTAGAGATAATAAATTGGAAATCAAATGTGACATCTTATTAGAGAGTTTCAGATAAGGCCTCCAGAAGATATAAGATTTGACTTGGGCCTAGAAAAAGTTCTGTGTATAGAAAAGAAAGAAATTATCCATATCTCTAAAATGAAAAAAAACCAAAAAAACCTCAAATCATGAGGCTAGAAATTTTGAATCTTATTCAATGCATTTTATTCCTTAAGTGGTTTTAAATACTAAGTGATAGAAATCTAGTTGAGCCAAAAATCACAGGTTTTCTAAGAGTTATTGGTGAACAAGATTTATTGTCATAATGATTCTTGGCTATGCCAGAGTCTTATAGTTACAAACGTGCTTATTCCTGTTAAATGTCCAACTTACTTGGCTTTATGTAAGAGTTGTTAGCTATCCCAATCAACATAGAATTTCCTCTATGAGGAAAAATACTTGTCTGTCTAGTATAACTGAGAGTCCATAAAGTGTTAGGCTATAATGGCAGAGTAGCTGGACTTCTACACAAAAAGTCTGTCTATGAACTTAAATGCATGTTTAACAACTTTTAGATATTTTTACTTGTTTTTCTTTTTCTTAAATTTAAGGACACCTTTTTCAAAACACACTTTAACTTAAAACCTCAATGTATAGAACCGATAAAAATCTGTGGATCTAACTCTGTGATGCAATCATAGTAATGATGGCCACTCAATAACTCTGTGTATAAAATAACTGTTAGATGTTATCTGACTTAACTTTGCAATTCTTCCACATACAAAACTTATTTTCTAGGTGTTCCTCTCTAACCTGTTTCACTCTAATCCTCATCTCAACAATGACAATTCTTTAGTTGTTTATACTGAAACCTTGGTATTTACCATTAATTCCTCTTTTTCCTCTCATATATACATCCAGTCCATCAGGGAATTATTGTGGCTCTTTCTTTTAAATATATTCAACACTTAACTGTTTTTCACCATTTCTGCTGTCACTAGTGTGAATTATTGCAGTAATATTCCATCTGTCTTTCTTCTCCCTTTTCTCCTAAAGTCTATTCTCTGAAGTAGGCATAGATAGACTTTTTTTTTTAACGCCATTTTATTTTATTTTTTAATTAATTTATTTTTGTTACAGATGTTTCTCCTTTTCCCCCCACTGATTCACCCTCCCTCTCCCTCCCGGCCCTGTCCCCAGCTTTGTTGTCCATGTTCATTGTTCATGCACACATGCATTTAAGTTCATAGACAGACTTTTTGTGTAGAAGTCCAGCTACTCTGCCATTATAGCCTAAGAGCAGCCACAGACAATACATAAATGAATGAGCATGGCTATGTTTTAATAAAATTTGATTTCTAGATAGCAGGCTGAGTGTGGACTATGGGCCATAATTTGAAAATATCTATTGTGATGCATACAGAGTGATCCTTTTAAAATGTTAAGTGAGCATGGCTGGTGTTGCTCAGTGCCTTGAGTGTTGGTCCCATGGACTGAGAGGTCCCAGTTCTATTCCTGGTCAGGGCACATGCCTGGGTTGCAGGCTTGATGCTCAATAGGGGGCGTGCAGGAGGCTAAAATTCTCCAGTAGATTCACATCACGTGTAGTAAATGCCAATCTTTTCCCCTCCCTTACTCTCCAAAGAGAGTCTTCCTGATGTGTTTGACTGAGAAACAGGAAGATATGATTAATGAAGAGGAAAATGGGTATTGAGTAGTATGTACCTGTTGCAAATAGTATCCTGTGACACCCCGTTATGACATTGTTTCTTTTAGTGAACTTGCGTTAACTCAGTGATAACTGCCTTCATTTTTAAAAAACACAAGAGAATAAAATTTAGAATCCTACATATAAACAATGAACCAAACATTTTAAATTAATTGCATGAAATTTCTCTGCTTATGAGTAATATTAGGTTTCAAAGTCCATTTTTCCTCAAAGGCAGTGGTTCTTAACCTGTGGGTCGCGACCCTTTCGCAGGGGTTACCTAAGACCATTGGAAAACACGTATTTCCGATGGTCTTAGGAACGGAGACACTGCTTCTCTATCTGTCTCCAGGGGGGTCTACCCACATGCAGATAGATATGCCCTCATACAACATGAGGAACTGTATTAAAAGGGTCACGGCTTTAGGAAGGTTGCGAACCACTGGTAAGGTAACAACATTCATACCATGATGGCCACTTATGGGGGACCAACAAAGTTAAAAAGGTTTTTCTCAGAGACCTAGTTTATTTTTAGCCACAAAAATAAAAAAGTACCTGGCTTGACAACATTTTGTTTGGAAAAAATCCAAAGAAAAATTTTGGGTTAGAAGCTAATTGTGAGCCAAGTGTGAGAAAAAGCTACTTTAAAAAGGAAAGAGGAGTATTCTTGGGCTTTTAGAAGTATAATGCCCAGCCATGGAAATAATTAGCCTTCTGTGTCTTGCACTAATTAGCTCATATGAGAATATCTTTCTTACTTATTACTAACACGCTGTAACTAGGATTTCAAAAAACAAAACTCAAATATGCTTTGGTTTGTTACATGGAAAGTTTATAAAACTGATTGGACTTTGAGAGAAAGGGAGACTACACAGGGCCTATACTTTGGTGTTTATGGAAATATCTTGTAACTTAGTTTTGTTGCATGTTTGTAGGTTTTGGATTATCTAGTTCTTTTTTTTTCTTTGTCTTTTTCCTATATTGATTTTAGAGAGAGGAAAGGAGAGGTAGAGAGAGATAGAAACATCGATGAGGGAGAACATTGATTAGCTGCCTCCTGCATGCCCCCCACTGGGGATTTGGCCCACAACCTGGGCATGTGCCCTGACTGGGAACTGAACCGGCGAACTCTTGGTGCATGGGTTGATGCTCAACCACTTTGCCACACTGGCCGGGCTCTAGTTCTTTTTTGTATGCAGTGATTTGGAGAGATTGAATACTATATTGCCATCACTGCCATCTTTCACAGACTAGGTTTTTAATACCTAAAGAATATACATTGTTGTATAGTGATTTCCTTCTCTTTATTTAACTACCTTTATATAATAATTTTAAAAGACAGATTATAGATGAATGTTTTTATGATAACATTATTTTAAATGTTCTAAACCTTAGAGATTGGCTGTTGGAGAACTAACAGAAAATGGATTGACATTAGAAGAATGGTTGCCTTCAACATGGATTACAGATACTATTCCCCGAAGATGTCCATTTGTACCACAGATGGGTGATGAGGTATGTTTAAACTTTGCAAAACATCCTTTACTTGTTTCTTCTAAGTTACTTCAAACCTTATTATAGGTCTAACAACAGAACTCTGGAAGATTGCAGCAGTTTCATAAAGTATTTCATTCTAGATGTCTGTAGCTATGTATGGAAAAAGTAAAATTAAGAGGGAAGCACTAATAATCATCTTTTTTGAGACTGCTGTAGACATTGTAATTATAAATCTAAATACTATAAAAATGGAAATTTTGTTGGCATTTTAAAAACTAGTGTGTATTTTTTAATAAGAGGGTTTTGTCGCCAGTTTTCTTTCTTTAATTAAATTATATTACTTTTTCTTAGCTTAATACTGAAATATATATAGTTATATTAAAGAAATGGAAATATAGCATTTTATTTTCATTTAATTTTATTTCATAAGTGTTTTATTTAAATACAGTGTTCATAATTTATGTATTAGGTTTTTAAAAAGTACTGTTATTACCCTGGCCGGTTTGGTTCAGTGGTTAGAGTGTTGGCCCTTGGACCAAAGAGTCACAAGTTCCTTTCTGGTCAGGGGCATATAGCTCGATTGAGGTTTGGTCCCTGGTCCTGGTCGTGGTTATGTGGGAGGCAAACAGTCGGTGTTTCTCTCTCTCCCTCTCTCTATCACGTCCATGTCTGTCTGTCTCTCTCTTCCCTTCCTTCCCACTCTATCTGAAGATAAATGGAAAAATATCCCCGGTGAGGATTTAAAAAAAAAACTGTTATCTTAGAATAAGAAATATTTTATTTTATTTTATTTTTTTTTTTTTTTATCCTCACCCGAGGACACTTTTTCATTCTTTGTTCAGATAGAGCAGGAGGGAGAGAGAGAGAGAAACATCGATGTGAAAGGGACACATCGAGTGGCTGCCACCCGCACGACCAACCAGGGCCGGGGACAAACTGCAACCGAGGTACATGCCCTTAGCGGGAACCGAACCCGGGTCTCTCCGGACCGCAGGCCAACGCTCTAACCGCTGAGCCAAACCGGCCAGGGCAAGAAATATTTTATTTTTAAGAAAATGTGATTGACCATCATTTGACTATGTACTTTGGACTGGTTTCCCACTCAGAGGTTTATATCTCCTTGAATAAGTTAAAAGACAGGGTTATCAGGCGTCCAGTAGATGAACAGTAAGAAATCAGGAATTAAAACTGGCTTCTTTAGCAAAGCATGCTAATTAGCTATAGAAAGTGGCAGATGGCAGTTGACAGTAAAAGATGAAAACAAGAACTTTATAATGCAAGAGTAACTCTAACGAAGTCTGAAATAATTCATGTAGAGACCCTACTTGCCTAAGAAGTCTTGAAGAGCACAGAACATTACTACATTGTTGTGATTTAGTACAGTGATAGATCCTAACAAATCTTGCCAGATCAAGAAAATGCTTAATTGTATTATATTTAATATACTATTTCAAGGTGGTCAGAAAGTGTGTAATTGCTTGTTGAATAATTTTCTATCAAAATGTTCTAATTGTCTTTTTAGTTGTTGGTACTTAAATAGGTTAAGTCCTCATCATTCAGCACCATTTGTTCATACAAAGTTTCAGACAACTAAATAATGACATCAATGAGTGTACTGAAAGTATGTAGAATAATGTATGTCCCAAAATGTTACTAAAAACTTAATAACATTTAAAAAATTTTTATTTTAATAAGTTCTATTTTTTAGTAGTGGGAAGAATTTTTGGTATCAAACTAGTGTGTTCAAGTACCTGTTCTACAGGATGGTAGTGAAGAGTCACTTAAATTTGACCTTCATAAAATGAGGATAAATAGATGCCTGTTTTTATAAGGATAAAATATATATGTGAGAATACATTTTTCACTTTCATGTTCTGCATATGTATAAAACTACTTGCTGCAAAACAGAGAACAATAAACTAATCATGATCCCTAGTTACAGATTTGTAATGTAACATAGAATAACTTATTTTGAATCCAAAAATAAAATGGTGAAACCAAAAATAACTACTCTTCTTAAGCTCTTCGTCTGTAACCAAAGTAATATTATTTTGAACACTTTGGTTCTGATTAAGTGACATTATATAAAACAATGCACAGAGATTACACGACAAGGATTCATCTGTTGAGGATGAGCTGTTTAACAAAATGTTTCATATTGAATTCTCAGTGTTAAGGATTGCCATTACAGACCCAGCTCTTGTAAGAGCCAGGTGAATCACAGCACATGACACTGCCACTGAGGGAACCCTATCGTCAGGCTACCTGAAAATTTCATTGAAATATGTATACAATAAATTGTGTTCATTTTTTAAAATTTAGTTTAAAAAAAAGGAACAAAAACTTGAGGAAAAGAAGTGAAAAAATAATAGAATATTAGATAACTTGAAAGAACATTAAATTTTTGCATTTTTGGTTAAAGGAAACTCATTCAGGTTTTAAAATTGTGACTCTGTTTACTCTTTAGGTTTATTATTTCCGGCAAGGACATGAAGCATATGTTGAAATGGCCCGGAAAAATAAAATTTATAGTATCAATCCAAAAAAACAGCCATGGCATAAAATGGAACTACGGGTATGGTCTTTATTATTTAATGGCTCCAAAATATGTAATTATGGAATATTTATGGAAAAACTTGTATTGTTAATAATTTTACTATAAGAAACTGTCATTAAGAACAATTCTGGGGAGTAAGAGAGTGTTTAACATTCTAAAAAACAAGATTAACTGAATTTGTATACTCTGATAGTTTATAAATTGGGTACAAAATACAATTATAATGAACATTACACAACACTAATGTCTAAGGTAAACTTTATGTTTGTAAATTTGATAAGTATTTCTAGATTTATCAACAGTAGTTCAAAAATACTTAGAGGTCTAAATCTCTAAGTGTTGGAAAACTCTTATGTTAAAGTTTTCTTTCTTTTTTCTCTACTGTTTAAAATTTAAATATAATTTGCATACTATATAGTATACAGATCTTAAGTATATACCTCAATGAATTTTTACATATACACACAGAGCAATTACCTAGCTCAAGATCAAAATGAAGAAATACTTTCTTGTTATGTTTAGCAGTTTATTTTATTTATTTTGTGAAGATGGTTTCTTATTTTCTGTATCTTCCTCAGGAACAAGAACTGATGAAAATAGTTGGCATAAAGTATGAAGTGGGATTACCTACCCTTTGCTGCCTTAAACTTGCTTTTCTGGATCCTGATACTGGTAAACTGACCGGCGGATCATTTACCATGAAGTAAGGACTGTTGAAAAAGGCAATGGTTTCTTAGTATTGTAGATTGTTTCTCAAGATTCAGATAAATTTAAACATCTCTTAGATATTTTTAGGTATGTGACCTAATCAGTTTGTTTCTGTTTGTAATTAGATACCATGATATGCCTGATGTTATAGATTTCCTAGTCTTGAGACAACAGTTTGACGACGCAAAATACAGGCGGTGGAATATAGGTGGGTAATTTCAGAAACCATAGGTGTTTGTTTTTAATCTAGTAAGTACTTTAGTGTTTTTCATAATTTAGGAAAAGATAGTAAATAAATTGTCTTGCCATTTCTGGGAATATTAATAGCAAAATACAATAATACTATGTTAAGTACTTTCAAGTTTTGTTATGAAAGTAGTTTTAATCTAGTTGATGCTGAAAGTCAGCATTTTTTTCTCTTATATTTGCTAACTTATAAGATTGTTTATAGCTAGTCCTTTAGCTATTTTATGTGTTGATTTAAATTTTTATTTATTGATTGATTTTAGAGAGAGGAAGGGAGAGGGAGAGAGAGAGAGAAACATTGATGAGAGAGAACATTGATTGGCCACCTCCTGCATGCCACCCCCCATTGAGGAGCTGGCCCACAACCTGGGCTTGTGCCCTGATTAGGAATCGAACCAGCGACCTTTTGGTGCATGGGTCAGTGCACAACCACTGAGCCACACTGGCTGGGCTTGACTTAAATTTTTATTTAAAAATGTAAATAACAATTTAAAAGTGAAGCTAAAGAAATCTTCCAGGTCAAAATGTTTAATAATAATTTGGACTGGGACTAAAGCTAAACTGACATTTTTTTTCTTTGTTTAACTGTGTTATATAATCTTCAAAAATTAATACTGTAATCAAGACTCAAAGAAATTTTAAAATCCTTAAAAGTTTCTGGGCATTTAAAATGCATTAATTTACTTAAAAAAAGATAGTGCTGTTCATTAGGGTATTTAATCTTTTAAAGATTTCAAACAGGGACACTCTTTGTCATCTTGGAGTGAGCTGTGGTACATATATAGCATAATATGGTTTGAAGAAGCACATTAATTGATACATCAGTTCATCTCTCCTTCAGTGCCATTGGCATGATGATTTATCTTTGGGCTTGATAAACTTGGGTATTTATATGTATTCTCTAAAAAGAAAAATTAGGAAAATGTGGGTTATCAAAATTAGGGTCACGGGAATTACCAAAAAACAATTATGTATCATTTCTCTGGAATCTTTGAAAGATGTGTTTCATAAAAGTAGTAAACCAAAATAGAGAAAGACATGGAATTCCCACGGGAGACAGGAAATTTTTTTCAGAACAGGAAAGAGCAAAAAGGAATTCCCAAGTAACTGCAAAAGTCTAAGAATAGCATCTGTCTAGCAAGCCTATAAAACAACCAGACCAGAAGATACTGTCCCCCAAGAGTGAAGTCTTCAAAGGGTAAAAATGGAACTGATAAATTATCTAACATGCTTGACTTTGTGGGAAATTATATTGAAGAGTGTTTTGAGAAAACTAACCATTAAAAAAATGAAACAATTATACAAAATACAAGAAAGTAATTGTGTGCAAGTTGGCTTAGCAAACAATATTTACATAGTCATGGTACAAACTGAATATGGATTAAATAAAATGCACATACCTTTTATTTACAGTTGTTTGGATAGAGGTCAGTACTTAATGTCAAAAATTGATGAGTGAAGAAATAGCTCTATACTGATTCGTTAGAAATTTGTAAGTAAATTTCACGAAATAAGAGTTAAAAGTTTTCTTGGTTTTGGTTATAATTTTATGCATTTGATTTTTTAAAATTATTTGCATGTGTTACTTGATATGATAAATTTTATTTTTTTAAGGACATGCATCTGCCAATAAATTGCAGAACAAATATTCATGTCCACAGATATTACAGAAATGAGCTGATAACCTAAGCAAAGAAATATGGCAGGCATTGGAGAAATCAAAGAGAGATTTCAAATGGATGTACATCAGAATTTTCTCATTTGGCTCTTAGCATCTACTCCCCCGCCCCCAATATTTTATAGATTAATATTTCATCTAAAGTTAGTACTAATTGTTATTTCTGAAGATACCGTAGTACCCACTCTTTGTCCACAGGGGATGTGTTTTAAGACTCTTAATAGAGTCTGGCCAGTGTGGTTCAGTGGTTGAACATCAAACCATGCAGCAAGAGGTCTCTGGTTTGATTCCTAGTCGGGTTTCGGGCTTGATACCCAGTGAGGGGTGTGCAGGAGGCGGCCAGTCAATGTTCTGTCTATCTCTCCTTCTTCCTTCCTCTCTCTCTAAAATCAGTAAAGGAAAAAAGACTCCCAATGGATGCCTGAAACTGCAGATAGTACCGAACTTTTTATGTAGTTGTTTTTTTTCTATACATATATACTATGGTAAAGTTTAATTTATAAATTAGGCACAATAAGAGAATAACAACAATAAATAATAGAACAATAGAACAATATACTGTAATAAAAGTACATTTGGTTGGTTCTTCCCCCTCTAACCGGTGGTTAGCTTATATAGTATGGATATGGTGGACAAAGGGATGATTTATGTCCCAGGCAGGAAGGTGTGGCATAGGATGTCACATGTTACTCAGAGCGGTACACAATTTAAAACTTAAAGATTGTTTGTTTCAGGAATTTTCCACTTAGTATTTTCAGACTGTTGTTGACCACGGGTAACTGAAATAAAGGGAAAAAAACTGTAGATGTGGGGGTGATAGGGCTGTACTGTATATATATCTATATACCAACTGCTATTTAAAATTATATCAATTGTAATTACTTTAGCCTGTCGTCAGAAATGTTTAATATAGTGGATTCAATTCCTTGTTTAACTTCATTGTTATCACCTTACTGTGTAGTTCATTTGATTAGGCATATATTGTTCAGTTCCTTCTCTTTAGAATGATGTCAACAGTCTTAGTTGTTTTTCTTTAGAATAATGTCATCAGTCTATGTAGGACCATAAGAAATAGCTGTGTGAAACTCATTAGATTTACTATAAGGTGGTGGTGTCAAGAATGCTGTTTATTACCCTGACTGGGTGGCTCAGTTGGTTGGAGCGTTGTCCCGTACACCAAAAAGAGAAAAAGGTTGCCAGTTTGATTCCCACTCAGGGCACATAACCTAGGTTGCGGATTTGATACCCAGTCAGGGCACATACAGGAGGCAACTGATAGATGTTTCTTCTTTCTCTTAAAAAAACAACAACATATATATATCTCCTTGAGTGAGGATAAAAAAAAATAGTGCTGTTTATTAAATTATATAGTAGCTTCTCACTAAGATTAGTATGACTAATATGCATCTGAGGAGCTATTAGAGATTCAAATCTAGTAATAGGTCATATTTCCCTCTTATATTGGCTATTAGAATGCTTGAACCTAAACTTGTATCACAGTGCATCCCCACTCTAAGATTACACACACACACACACACACCCCTCAACATGTGATTGTTCTATTAATGGACTCCTTGTTCCAGTTTTCTTTTTTATCATTAAATTTCTTTTCTCTTGTTTTTAAATTTTTTAACTCATCTTTTAACTTCTTTCTGATAAAAAATGAGAACGTATACAAATACTAATTACTTTGTTCAAAGTCACATGGATAAGTTACTTGAACTCGGGTATTTTAGACCCTAACCTATCTCCTGGAGAAAATTCATTAAGGACTAAAGTGATATGAAAGCCTAGGAAGGGGAAAACATGGCAAAAAGGAAGAGAGTGGTTTATATTTTCCATATGACATAGAGGGAAGCTGAGAAGATAATGTATTAGGTCTGGGGAAAGCAGTTTCTCTACTATGCAATTGGGTAAGGAAGGAAAGGGACTCAGTCTGTTTTACAACGATTAGTTGTTTTTGTTTCTTTTTCAATTTTTTTATAGAATGCTCTGCATGAATGTTATAGCTCAAGAGTAATTGAGATAAAGGAAGGCAGTTTGGATTTTTGTTCTGGTTTTGTTGTTTTTAGGCTGGAATCTTAAATGTTGGTTAGAGGAACTTGGCTATAGAAAATAAGAAGTTAAAGATAGACTATAAACATTTGTTAAATAGAAATTATGAAACTGTATGTTTATTTGAATGAAAAGTTTTGATATAGTCCTCCTGATGAATTAAAAATGCTAAATTGTTAAAAATGCTTAAGGTAAGAATTAATTTCTTTTTACCCTAATAAAATGTAAGAAATGATACTGGGAAACTGGTAAGTCACACTTCAGGTGTACTTATTAAATAACTTTCCCCCCAATATTGCCTATTTATTTACTTAGTTAAGTTGAAGTTTGTAGGTCACTTTTTGTATATATCTTCTGAAATCATACAGGCAGTTTAAGTATCTTGAGTGTATACTTTGGGATAAAGGAGCAACAACCAACAATAGCAGCTTTATAGTTCAGACTAATAAGATGGCTTTTGTTCTTGTCCAGGTGATCGTTTCAGATCAGTCATAGATGACGCCTGGTGGTTTGGAACAATTGAAAGCCAGGAACCTCTTCAACATGAGTACCCTGATAGTTTGTTTCAGTGCTATAATGTTTGGTAAGGAAGTATTTGTTGTATTTTAGTTCAACCTCACTTGCTTCGATTATTTTCCCCATCTGTTAATAAAGTGATAGAGATACTTCTTTTAAACACTGAAGCAGTTATTTTTATGATGTGATTTTATTTTAAAAATTGCATTACAGTATTTAGATTTTTTAATAACAGAATTTTTCTTCCTTTAAGCTGGGATAATGGCGATACAGAAAAGATGAGTCCTTGGGATATGGAGCTTATACCTAATAATGGTAAGTGTATGTTAGACTTTTTTGTATGTATATTATGGGATTAATTTCTTAAGTAAGATGTCTAATTTGCTAATTTGCTATTGCATAGGGTTGTTAGGAAAATCAAATAGAAAATATTTATTCATCAAATATTTATTGCACAAGGGCATATGGCCTGACACATAGCCTGGGGTTTGAGAGTTAGCCTTAGGCAGTGAGTATGCTACCTTCCTGGAACTAAAAAAACGCCAGTGTATCTATATCCTGGAGATTGTATTTTCTTTCTACCTCATTACCTATCTTTGTTTCAATTTAAAAAAAACACACATTACTGTATGTGCATAAAAGTGTTTAAAAGGATATATATTCTAGATTATTAATAAGGATCATTTATGAAGGGTGAAAATATAAGGATGTCCATAAATTATTTGTAACATTCTGTATCATTCAATTTAAAAATAATAATATTACTTTTAGTATTAGATAAGATTAAAGATTTTAAAAAAACAAAAAGGAAAAAATATGACTTGTGACATAGTACAAATAATTATTTATAACTATTCACTAGTTACTGTATTCTAAGAAGTCAGAGGAAAAAAAGATAACTTTGGAAAAAGTGAACCCAATCTGGTAAACTTTATAAATGAGAAAATAGTCACGCTGCTTAGTCCAAGACTAGTTCTTTTTAGAAATTATCACTTTAAAAATTTAATACCAGAAATGTGTTTTCATCTCACTGCTAGATTAGAGCTGTTTAAAAGTTTAAAATATCTTAATTAACTTGTAACCACATTACATGGTTTATATTCTGGTTTTATTTTTCTGCTTTGTGAAAGTTTGACTTTGAAGTCACTTTGCACTATTATGAGTGAGAGAAATGAAGCTGCTAATTAGTGTTGTTATACCTGGAATATTTATTGAAATAAATTGGTGCCATTAAGATACTATTTGTTTTCTACCTAAATATATCTGTATGTAGAGGGGGTGATTTTTGTTATTTTTTATTTATTTGAATACACGTACATACGCACCCATAGAGTTTAATTAGGAAGGGAAAAAAACTTTTTTTTTTTTCTTTATTGGTTTTAAACAGAGAGGGAGAGAGAGAGAGAAACATTGATCATAGAGAACATCGATTGGCCGCCTCCTGCATGCCCCCCACTGGGGATTTGGCCCACAATTTGGGCATGTGCTTGACTGCGAATCGAACAGTCGAACCAACAACCTCTTGGTGCATGGGTGGACGACGCTCAACCACTGAGCCACACCCGCCAGGCAGGAAGAAAATTTTTGTGCACAAATTTCTCTTATCTAGGTCTACTTCAAAGAAAATATTACTTGGCAGGTTTGTAGATTTATGTCATCACCAACCCCCTAATGATTCTCTTAAAGATTCTGGCATTCAGAAAGCATACCATTGTCATTTGAGAGCAATAAGCATAAGAATTATCTATCAATATTCATAATTCTCTCTGTTCCTATATTTTAAAAATTTTAGGCTTTGAAGTATTTTGAAAAGTACAACTTTAATTCAATTTTAAATTGTGTATATTTTATCAAACTAAAGATGGAGATTATATTAGGAAATGATTCAGAAACCTTTTAAATTTGCCTCATTTTATAGAAATACTTCTCATCTGTAAATGATAAAGCAAGTCATAAGGTAAAAAATTTGGACAAGTAATTATAACGTTTTTAAAAATTATTTAAATTTTATTGACCCTTGAAACATTTTTTCTTTAATGAAAATAAAGAATATACTTACCAAATTTTTATAGAATTATACTTTAGTTTTATGGCAGCATCAATTCTACTTTCTAAAGATAACCTAAATATTAGGAAATTACCACATATTTACACTAAATCTGCATTCCTTTCTTTGTATTTCAGCTGTATTTCCAGAAGAACTGGGTACTAGTGTTCCTTTAACTGAGGTCGAATGCAGGTCATTGATCTATAAACCACTTGATGGAGAATGGGGTTCCAATCCCAGGGATGAAGAATGTGAAAGAATTGTTGCAGGAATAAACCAGTTGATGACACTAGGTAAATGATAATAGTAGTACATTCATATAGAATAAGCTGACAGAAAGCAAACAGAATATTGTTTCATAACATCAAGACTGGGTGGTTTTCAAACATTTTCCAGTGGAATTTTATACATGAGATCTTACACAAGACTCAGATATCCAAAACGGGTATAAATGGGATTGCTCTAGCTGAATTTAGAGTGAAGATCCCCAGAAATGCCAGGGGTTCTTCTGAACAGTCTGGTTCCTCAGAACCCAATTTGAAAACGCTTGACATACTCATTTTGACTTGATGTGAATTGGGAGAGAAAGTCTGAAAGCTGAATTACAATTATTTGGATAGCTATACTAGTTTTTCTCTTGCCTTTATGATGCATATACATAAGATTATTTGTAAGGGGAAGGGAAGAATGGTATATGAATTGCTTTGCCTTATTAAAAGAAAAACATTTTACAGATTATCTAGAGTAATTCTAACCTAGGATGGTGCTTTGTAAAAACCCCCTCTTTCAGTAAGGAATAAGCTTCAAAGAGTCTAGGGAGAAATTAACATGAATAAGAAGAGCTAAAGACGCTGGAGGCACATATTGGATAATATTTTCATTTGAAGTATTTTATAAAATGGGAACACTTCATAAAAATTGTCTCATAGATACTATCTTAAGTAATTTTAGTATATGAAGTTTTGTTACACTTTATGTGAATGAGCAAAAAAATGAAGAGTGATCTTGGTTTCTAGATTTTACCAGTTTACTGTGTACCATTGGGTCAGTAACTTTGAGTCAAAGACTCTGGATCTTTTTCCTCTTCTCTGGTTGCCTGATATTTCACAGAATTATGTTGTAAAGATGAGCTAAGGTGATAAGTTTTGAGAAAGTCAAAAGTTAACAACATTTGAATGCATTGTATTACAGTTGGTGGTAAAATAAATGTCAAAAACATAGAATGAGGAATGGCCAGGTTTTAATTATAGAAATGTATATTTCCTTGATAGGTCAGATATATACTATTTGTCATGTCTTTTCTTCTAAGCAGTCTATGGATAACAAATATATATAATTTTGCAGTGTAAATGTATACATAATAAAAAATGACGGTCTTATTAGCTTAGCTAAATTATGTATTTTTTATGAAAAGACAGTGGCAAACTAATGGTTATGTGGATCACAACTTAAATCTTAATTCAAGTAGAATTGTCCATGAAGTATTTTAAGCAATACAAAAATAAATTTATAAACTTATTTTTCTTATTTATTTTAGATATTGCTTCAGCATTTGTGGCTCCTGTGGATCTGCAAGCCTATCCCATGTATTGCACTGTAGTGGCATATCCAACAGATTTAAGTACAATTAAACAAAGACTGGAAAATAGGTTTTACAGGTTAGAACTGTTTGCTGTAGCTACTACCAAAAGAAGGCTAAACGATCTTTCATTCATTTACTGATATTTTGTAACAGTGTTTCTTAAACATTAATGTACATAAAAATCAGCTGGGGATTTTGTTAAAATGCAGAACCTGGTTCCATAAATTTAGCATAGGACCTGAGGATTCTGCATTTCTAAAAAGTTCCCAGCAGTGCTGCAGCTGCTGATCTTGTAGACCACACTTAGCATAAGATTTCTAGATACAGTTTTTGCTAACTGCTAATATGAGCTCACTGTCTTTTTATTGCATTTTATAAAGAAAGTCAAAAAGTATTTCATTTTCTCTGAGATAATTACATTGAAATATTTGTTTGTTAATGGTTTTTCATAGAACAATATACATATTTTTTCTTCCATTCAGCTTATGAATACTTCATTTTTCATCATTATAGGTTGGCTTGAAATATAACTAGTTTTTTTTTTTTTTTTTTAAGACACTGTCAATTTGCATCATCTTCTAACGAACAATTTCAATAAATATTGAGTTCTAATCTCGGACAGGCTTTGTAGATTTATTGCCTAAAATGTCTTGTCAAAATGAGTTTAAGTCTGGTTTTTACATCATGAAATCATACTTGTAGATTTATTTTTCTTATATAACTTTTGCTGAACAGGACAACAATATTTTAATTCAAATAATACTGCATTAAAACATACTTTTTGTGACTAGTTTTATATTAACTTCTTTACATTTTTATTTAACTTAGGAAAATTTTTATTAATATTTTGTATTCATATTTTTCTACATAAAATTAGTGCTTTTTGTTCTTTTTAAGTATAAATCTAATTTGGTACTTTGTTTACCTGACACTAAAAATACTGTTTGTTATTCCTTACTGACAAAAGTAGGGTTTCTCAATAAAAACGTTGATATTTGGGGCTGCCCTCAGTCCTTTAGGTGCCAATAGCAGCCTCTGGTTGTAAAACCAAAAATGTCTCCAGACCTTGCCAAATGGCCCCTGGGGAGCAGAATCACCTCTGATTAAGAACCACTGAAATAAAGAAAGTGAAGATACTAGACTGCAGGTTCTGAAGACTTCTCTGATCTTGTTAGGTGTTTCTGCTGTTTCTTCATTGATACTTGTCAGAAGCATAGAGTAGGAAATTGCCAATGATAATGTGCCTTCCAGCTGTCTTCTTTAAATCTTTAACTCCACATGTCAGAAGTTTAAGAGAATAAATGGAGAAGAAATTCTTAATTATATCATTCTTTCTCCTAGACCCCCAAATTGCTACATCTTAGGAGTCACACCTAGTGCTTCAAAGATGGAACAAGGCATGGAGGGTAACAGGGAAAGAATTTTTCTTTACAATGGCTTTTGGACTTCAGCTAGAAAAATAAATTTATGGCATCTCCCACTATTGTTGTAAATATGCTTTCTCATAGAAATACTGATCAATATGGTAATTGCTAAAGTGTATGTTTCAAGTACATTATAGCTTAAATAGGATTTTGACAATAGCCTAGCTTGGTAAACAAATTAGGAAAACATCTTTTGGGATACAATCCATACAAGAATTAGAAACTGCTTGTTTTTCTGATAATGTGGTTACAGGACCAAGTTAGGTTCTTAAGTGCTGTTTCACTGTTTTAAGCTTTTTTGCTTCTCCTTTGTTCATTTGCTTCAGACTTCTTACAGTTTATGATTTTCCTTTTTAATACTTCTTTTAGTCTTTTGTTAAACTACTGTCAGTTTGCCCTACTGGTATTAATCTAATGCCTTATTTTACACAGTTTTCTATAGAGTATTCTAAAGATACCTGTTTTATATTATTAGAATTAGCCTTGTGCGTGCTATTTTAAATCCACAGGAGCATTTCTGTATCCACAATTATAACTTTAAAAAATTCCATATAATGGTATTTTTGTTTACACATCAGTAAGATTTTCTGAGTGTTTTCTGATTTTAAGTAAGACCACATATTGGATAATATTCTAGAAGTCATCTTTGGATTTTTCTTTAAGAAATAAATGAATAAAACACCAAAATGTATTTTAGTATTGTCAATTCAATGTTAAGAAATTTTTTTCATATATTAACCTTTCTTGGTAAACTTAACATGGTTACTGTGTTTTTATATTTTTATATCTTATAAGCAGGTTATCAGTTTTTCCTTTTTACATAAATGTCAAATACACTTTTCAAAAAATGACACCATATATGAAATGGATATGTAAAATTAAAAATAAAAACTCCATTTCTCTTCTGCTACTCTTCCTATAGACAATATCTTTCTAAAAGAAGGAACTGTTGATGGTTTAGTGTATCTAATCCAGACATATTCTGTGCTAATACATAATGTTGCTACATTTTTTTCCTTACACCAAGAGGTTATAATTATTTTTAAATAACTTTTTAAGATGTGAATTTTGTACTTGATTTAAGACTATGGTTTTAAGTCACAATGTCTTGGTTTTTAATTTTGTGCCTATATTTCTAAAGATAATGATGTTAATCCTTCCATATTTTGTTTGTTTAAAGGCGGGTTTCTTCCCTAATGTGGGAAGTTCGATATATAGAGCATAATACACGAACATTTAATGAGCCTGGAAGCCCTATTGTAAAATCTGCTAAGTTTGTGACTGATCTTCTTCTACATTTTATAAAGTGAGTTATTTTTCCATAATTATAATTACTATAACAATTAATGGCAGTATTATAAAATGTCAAATACAATCATTTTTATATTATTATATGCTGTGCTCATACACATGACTCCACTCAAAATAGGGAGCATGTAATGTTTGTGTCTAAAGTAACATTTAGGTCATTGGCTAATATTAATTACAAAATCATAAATTTTTTTTTTTTTTTTTTGTATGTGCCCCTAACGGGAACCAAACTCAGGACTCTCTAGTCCGCAGTCCGTCGTTCCAGCTGCTGAGCCAAACCGGCCAGGGCCGAAATCATAAAATTTTTGTTCTACGCTTAACGTAAACAAACATGGATCCTTTTCTAAATCCAGCTGATGGACAATAATAGTAATAACCATTTATTGAACATGTAATGTTCTACCTAAAATATTTCTTCTAACCTAAATAATCTTACGTTATCTGAAACTTATAGTTAAGGAAACAGTCTTTTAAAAAGAGTTTAACTTGCCCTGGCCAGTTTGGCTCGGCGGTTGAGCGTCAGCCTGTGGACCAGAGAGTCCCGGGTTTGGTTCCTGCGAGGGGCACGTACCACAAAAAAAATAAAAAATAAATAAAAAGAGTTTCACTTGTTTAATTTCACAGTAAATGAGTGTCTACCATCTGATATGAGAACCTTTTATCTTAACATTATAAACAAGTTTATAAACAAGTGTTTAAGGAGTCTAGCAAGAGACTAAATTTAACTTATAAGATATAGTTTACTGCCTCATTCATTGATCCCATACCAAGAGTTATAACTGTACTTTTTAAGACAGTAGCACTTTTATTTACTTGTCTTATGGATTTTAGGTAACCATAGAATGAATTTAGCCTTCTAAATTGAAGCCAGAGGAATGAATCATATGTTCTGTATCAGATACTGATCTGAGTTTTATATTATGGCTGTTTATATTAGATAATATTTCTTGTAAAGAGGAGAGAGTGTATTTTATAATTTAAAATTTCAGCTGCTGTCAGCTTTTATTTTTACATGAAGGAGTTATACATCATAATCTCTTTATACATCATAATCATGGGGTTCTTTTTCCTGGTATTAGTTCTTTCTTTATTATTTTTCTTTTTTACTAAGGAATGTAGGTAATCTCAATATAAGAAAACACCACTTGCCCTGGCTGGTTTGGCTCAGCAGTTGGAGCGTCGGCCCACGGACTAGAGAGTCCCGGGTTTGGTTCCTGCTAAGGGCATGTACCTCGGCTGCAGTTTATCGTGGGTGGCAACCATTTGATGTGTCTCTCTCACATCGATGTTTCTCTTTTTCTCTCTCCCTCCCGCTCTATCTGAAGATAAATTAAAAAGTATCCTTGGGTGAGGATAAAGAAAGTGAGTGTGTGTGTGTGTGTGTGTGTGTGTGTGTGTGTGTGTGTGTATGAAAACACTAGAGAATATTAGTAAAATAAACTTTATGTATTTCCTCTACCTTATTCACTAAAGAAATCTGTTGCCTTGCAAGTGGTTTAGAGGTTATTGTTGCAGTGCTTTTGCTTTTCAGTAAAACTAATAATCAGAAATTAGTTATCCTCAAATAACTCTTTATGAGCTTAGTTACAATAGCTAATAATATTTTAACTATAAACTTTTTAGTCTGAAATTTTATGTTATGTGGATAGTTATTTACATTTATTTTTCAAAAGGGAGATGAATAACAATCAGGGTATATTAAATTTATATTTTAGTGAAATGATTTAGATAAAATGATTATTTTATTTTTGGAATAGTCTGCAGTTTTATTCCTTTCAAATTGTTATTGTGACATGCCTTGTAAGAATAGATTATAAGATTTAAAGCATTCATATTTATTTGTTTTATTTTTTGAAGTATTTTTTTAATTGATTTTAGAGAGGTGGAGGGGGGAGAGAAACATTGATGAGAGAGAACATCGATTGGCTGCCTCCTGCATGCCCCCCCCCCACTGGGCCCACAACCTGGGAATGAGCCCTGACCAGGAATTGAACAGGTGACTTCTTGGTGCTTGGGTCAGCACTCAGCCATTGAGTTACACAGGCCAGGCAAACATTCATAATTTATATATCTAAAAATAAACCCCTGATGTTTTTTAGATTTATATAATTTGTTTAAACCGTTTTTAGCTGACAAGCTTCAAAATGTTATTTCAAAATTTTTATTATTATGTTTTTTAATTGACTTGTTTGGCCAAATTTCAAGCAATAGATACATACAAAGTAATGTAATAGATATTTGGAAATAGAAAGAAAAGTATATTTAACCCCTTAATACAATTTCATAGACAGGTAAACTTGTATGTAACTATATACAAAGAGAAAGTAACAAAAGAGTTTGTATGAAAGTTTAGATGAGGGATAGGTTCACTTCTCACTATTAAAGTGGGTTTCATATGCAGAAGGAAAGTATGTTAAGATATGTGGACAAGGTATATGTTGATAAATTCAGGAGAAATTAGGTGAAAGGAAAGCCATTCTAAGGATAAGAATGGAATGAAGTAGAAAAAGAGAGAATTGTTAAATAAATTTAGTAATTTAAATTGGGTGAAATAGTGAGTACATGCGTGTAAGGGATACAGTACTGTAAACTTATGTTTGGGTCAGATCATGGACAGCCTTGGCTGCTGAACTAAGGAAGTAGACTTTTTAAATATGGGTACTGGAAGCAAGAGTCTGAAATAAATATATATATATGTGTATTTTTTTTTTTTGTCGTCATTGTTGTTAATCTTTACCCAAGGATATTTTTCCATTGATTTTTAGAGAGAGTAGAGGGAAGAGAGAGAGAGAAATATCGATGTGAGAGAGACATATTGATTAGTTGCCTTCTGCACAACCCCTACCAGGGCCGGGGATTGAATCTGCAACCCAGGTACATGCCCTTGACTGGGAATCAAACCGAAGAACCTTCTGTGCATGGGCTAGTGTTCTATCCAGTGAGCCAAACTTGCCAGGACTATGAAAATATTTTAACATGAAAATTATGTGATATATAATATGCCTTAAAATATAAAAAAAATTTATGTATTGATTTGAGAGAGAGAGAGATATTAATTTGTTGTTCTGCTTATTTATGCATTCATTGGTGGATTCTTGTATATGCCCTGACTAGGGATAAAACCTACAACCTTAGCATATCGAGATGATGCTCTTACCAACTGAGCTACCTGGCCAAGGCATTCCTAAAAGTATTTACTGCATTGTATAATATTAATTGATAGGGAAGAGAGACATAAAGCATAAATAGCAGATTGACTGCTACAGCTGACCAAGTAAGAGATAATGAGGGATTAATTTATGGAAGTGAGAAAGGCAGATAGATGCCAAGAGGTTTTGAGGGTGTACTCAACAAAAGTTGCCCAATGATTGGGTTTATAAGGAGGCACAGGATGGAATAGTGAAAAACCATGCACTACTGTGAAAATGGGGAATGCTATTTTTTTTAAAAAAAGAAAAAGGGGGGAGAGTGTCTGGGGAGTGACATTTAGGTTCAGATGAGAAATTTTAGGTGATGGTAAGAATCTCAGAAGGGTGAGACCAAATTATAGGAATTGGAAATTCATTTACACAGATATACTGCAGAAATACAAGATTATCAGGTCAAAGGTTATAGTGTCAAGAGAAGATGTCTAAGGACAAAATACTAGGAAATGACTATAAGAATGAAAAAAAGGAAGAAATTAGTAGACAGAAGGTACATTAACTTTCTCTTGTAGACTGAGTAGTAAAAGAAGGCACCCCAAGCACAGCAATGACCTGGGCAAAACTTAGAGGTGAGTATTGAATTGAGTTTGGTGTAATGAAATAAACCAGAATGGAGCCTCCCCATAGAGTGGAGAGGCAGGGTCAAATGTGTGTTTTGAGGTCAACCTAAGAAAGAAGCCTTCGTCTTTAAGTTTTATTTTAAATCTCGTTTAAGTAACAGATTTAAAGGGAAAAAAATCTGATGACTAATCTTGTATACTAACATTTCCTTGTTATTTAGGGATCAGACTTGCTATAACATAATTCCACTCTACAATTCAATGAAGAAGAAAGTTTTGTCTGACTCTGAGGTATTTAATATTTTATTATAATTATTACATTGGTCTTATTCTGTATTGAAAAGAAAAATACACATAGTAATTTTCAGATGAATGCTGTTGTGAAAATTATTTTTGTCTAATTCTGTATGTAAAAATTGTTCAGAATTCTTTTGTTTTTGTTACAAAGAAATTGTTTTAAAAGGTGGGAGGGGGGAGACTTTCAGGAGTCAGTAAAGTGCTCCATCATATCCATTATAGATTTACTTAAGTATAAAGGAGTTAATGGGTATATAAACAACTATATATAATGATTGACACTTGAACCACATTGTGGTTAAGGATGCGGACTCCTCGAGCAGTTGAAAACCTGTATATAACTTTTTTTCTTTATTGATAGAGAAGAAGGGAGAGGGAGAGAGATAGAAACATCAATAAGAGAGAACATCGATTGCCTGCCTCCTGCATGCCCCCACTGGGGATCGGGCCCACAACCTGGGCATGTGCCCTGACTGGGAATTAAGCCGGCAACCTCTTGGTGTATGGGATGATGCTCTGTCCACTGAGCCACACTGGCTGGGCTGCGTATAACTTTGAACTCCCCAAAAACTTAAATACTAATAACCTACTGTTGACCTAAACCAGTGGTTCTCAACCTTCCTAATGCCGGGACCCTTTAATACAGTTCCTCCTGTTGTGGTGACCCCCAACCATAAAATTATTTTCATTGCTACTTCATAACTGTAATTTTGCTACTGTTATGTCTTAGGCGACCCCTGTGAAAGGGTCGTTGACCCCCAACGGGGTCGTGACCCACAGGTTGAGAACCGCTGCTGATAAACCTTATCGATAACATAAACATTTTATTAATACATATTTTGTATGTTATATGTATTACATACTGTATTCTTACAATAAAATAACCCAGGAAAAACAATTGTTAAGGAAAGTATAAAGAAGAGAAAATACATTTATGGTATTGTGTGTATTTACTTTTTTAAAAACTGTGTATGAATGGACCAATGCAGTTTAAACCCATGTTGTTTATGGGTTCACTGTAATAATGAAATCTAGAATGTTTACTAAATTAGAAAAATTCTTGCTTCAAAGGAAGAAGAGAAAGATGCTGATGTGCCAGGAACTTCTACTCGAAAAAGAAAGGTAATATATTTTCTGTTTTAGCAGAAGTACTTTATGTGAATTAAAATGTATTCAGAGCATACTTTTTTTTACTGTTAGTGTTTTTAAAGACAGATTAAGCCCTGGCTGGTTTGGCTCAGCAGTTGGAGCATCAGCCTGCGGACCTGAGAGTCCCAGGTTCAGTTCCCGCTAGGGGCATGCACCAAAAAATAAATAAATAAATAAAGACAGATTAAGCATTGTTTCCAAGTAAATTTCCATCACAAAATACATGATTATCAGATATAGGTGAATGATATTTTCTATTATTTATACTACTATATGTTACTTAATTATGTCAGTCAACATTAAAAATACAAGATTTGTGTATTATTTTATTAATATTTTTTAACACTTTTATTTTAGGACCATCAGCCTAGAAGAAGATTACGTAATAGAGCTCAGTCTTATGATATTCAAGCATGGAAGAAACAATGTCAAGAATTGTTAAATCTCATATTTCAATGTGAAGATTCTGAGCCTTTCCGCCAGCCGGTAGATCTCCTTGAATATCCAGTTAGTATTTAAAAAAATATTTTCTTTACCTGTCAGTTTTGCTCTATATCTTGTTCATGAAGGTTTGCTACTTAAATTGTTATTTTTTATGGTTATAGTTTATTTGTTTATTATTTCAGATGGTTATCCATTTGGTTATAAAAAGCATCTAAGTTGAATAGTGTGGTAAAATATAAAGAACCCTGAATTGAGACCCTAAAGAACTGGGTTATGGTCCCAGCTCTGCCTCTTACCAGCTGTGCAGTTTTCTCATCCTGAATTTTTTCTTTATACTACCCTCCACACACACATACACTGATTCTGTAAATTTATTATGGCAGTTATTTAGTAAACAAGAATAATAATACTAACCTTTTATGGGGATATAGAAATGGAATGAGAATACATTAAAATAGTTTTAAACTGAAGCACTATATGCAAATGTAAGGTGGCATTAATAGGTTTAGGTTATGTAAATTCATGATCTTTATAGGATTCATGGTAAAAAGGTTGAGTTAATATGACTTAAGTACTTATTTTTGCATGTAGACTTAGTAATCTAAATTATCTTAAAGTGAATCTTAATTCACAATCAGTTATTAAATTTTGTACAATTCAGATAACATTTGTGGTTTCGAATGAAAATAAAAATGCAATGTTTTGTAAAAGGTCATGAGCTGGATGTGGTATTATATGACTTTTCTGTTTATGTATATGTTCTAACCTACAATGATGAAAATAGAGAAATTTTATCAAATGCCTTTTCTAGTTGTTTCTAAAGTCAAGAAACTTGGAAACTTAAGTGTAGAAGATAGATCTTTAATTCCAGCAGTGTGATAAACTGGACTAGTTCAAACCCTACATTCCAGAAAACTAGAGGAACTGAGCATTGGGTCAGTGCTCTGGTTTTCAGTTCTTTTGTTTGTGGAACCTGTGGATTTCCCTTTGTTTCTTCTAAGTCCAATTTTGTGTCTTAGAAAATAAGTTTTAATTTACCTACTGCTTGCAGGTGTTATTATTCTGAACTTTTCCCCAGAAAAGAAGTGATAGAAATAAGCTTTAATGTCTAGATTTTAGAAGCACAAATATTAATACTTTGTGGAGATGGGTGAAGCTATGTGAGCATGGTGAGAAAGGAAATTGGAACTGAGACTCCACTGAAATTGATAAAAGACTTCACCTAAATGAAAATAGAGTAATTATTTTTCTACAAAGAAGAATGCTGCTTTCTGGTGTCAGAGAAATCTCCCTAAGCTTGCACTATGGATTTAGAGTCCAAATTTACACTCCCTGTGGTGTAGAAATTCATCAGGGGGAAAAAAAACCCAATCCCTACTAAAGTTGAACCAATGGTGTTTCAGATTTGAGGAAATATAAGGGTATGACTCATCATATATACAACAACAGAAACAACAAATGAAAATATGAGCACACTCTTCCCTAAAACTTGAGGTAATAGATTATTCTGAAATGCTATTATATTTCCTCAAATCTGAACCACTATTTATTGTAAGATGACTGGTATTTTATGTACCACCAAGACCAAAAAAAATACTCTGCCAATTAAATTTTGATTTGTCATTTTGGTTTAAGAGAGAAATAGAGGGATACAAACCATAAGGAAATAAAGACTAAAGACAAAAGAAAAGTGTAAAAGGAATCGTACAGAAAATACAGAGGAGACCCAGAACTGGTCCAACCAACTCATTTTAGTGATGTTGAACTGAGGCTCAGATTTAAGCAGCTTTCCAAAATATGTAGCAATTTATTGACACAGTGAGAACAAGAGGTCATAATCTCATGTGTCTTGTGCACTTAAGTTTATATGTATTATTTTTAGAATAGGTAATATGTAAGAATGTAGTCTCTCTGAAGTATTCAGAATAATGAGAATGGTATTTAGAACCTCTCCTTCTACCAGTTAAAAGTATTAACAGACAAAAAGTACTGGAAGGAAGAAAAAGTGTAATCTTCTGTCTCTTATGGTACTCCTTGATAGAGGTGTGACAATTTATGGCTATTTACTGTTTCTATTACTGTCACAGAATAGGAAACAAGAAAATCTACTTTTATACTTCAGAATTAACTATAATTATCAGCCTTATTAGCAGAATATCTAAGGCAATCATGCTCTTCATACTTCAGCTTTTGTATGAAAATATTACTTTATGTTTTGAGTTTAATTAAATATCCAAAGCAAGATTTTAAAAATTAAAAAGTTTTGATGAAAATTAGCATGCTAACTATTCTACTTCATTTATTTATTCAACAGAATTCTATTGAGTGGCTACCATGTATTATACTGAGAGATGGAAACCTGGGTATGTGCCCTGAGCAGGAATCAAATATGCCACCTTTCCATGTATGGGACAGTACTCCAACCAACTGAGCCACACTGGCCAGGACTAGAGTATTTTGTTTTTTTTAATGACAGTCTTGCATTAATAATGTATAATTTCTGTATATGGCCAAGTTATTAGACCATATTTGGTACATGCGGTAGACTTGTACATGGTTTTTGCTAAAATCAAAATATTAGTTAAAGGTACTAACACTAATTTTATTTTGTGACTTTATAAAATGGTCCTACAGTCACTTACAGGTGAGACATTTCAAAATATTTTGGTCAGCCCTTGCTGGGTGGCTCAAAGTTGGAGCATTGTCCCGTACACCAAAATGTTTCAAGTCTGATTCTTGGTCAGGACTCATACCCAGGTTGCGGGTTTGATCTCTGCTCCAGGAGCATAAGGGAGGCAAGTAATCAATGTTCTCTTCTCACATCAGTGTTTTCGTCCCTTCCTCTCTCTCTCAAGTCAATAGAAACATATCCTTGTATGAGGATTTTTTAAAAAAATATAAAATAGCCCTGGCCAGTTTGGCTCAGCGGTTAGAGCGTCAGCCTGCGGTCCGGAGAGACCCGGGTTCGGTTCCCGCTAAGGGCACGTACTTCGGTTGCAGTTTGTCCCCGGCCCTGGTTGGTCGTGCGGGTGGCAGCCACTCGATGTGTCCCTTCACGTCGATGTTTCTCTCTCTCTCTCCCTTCCTTTCTTTCCCTCCCACTCTATCTGTACAAAAAATGGAAAAATATCCTCGGGTGAGGATAAAAATATATATATATATATGTATATATATATATATATATACATATATATATAAAATAAATAAATCTGTGTGTGTGTGTGTATAAATATATATGCCAAAAGCTGTGTAATTGGATTTCTGAAAAGGAGTAGACATACTTTTCCCTATTCTACCCTCTAAGAACTAAAAATATTGTGGATTTTTTAAAAATTTATTTTTGTTACAGATGTTTCTCCTTTTTCCCCCATTGACCCCCTCCTCCCTCTCCCTCCCCGCCCTGTCTCCTGCTTTGTTGTCTATGCCCATTGATTATGCGCACATGCATATCAGTTCTGTGGTTTATCCCAGCCCCTCTTCTGGGGATTGTCAGTCTGTACCCTACCTCCATGTCTCTGGGACTACTCTGTTCTTCAGACTGTTATGTTCATTATATTCCACAAATAAGTGAGATCATATGATACTTGTCTTTCTCTGCTTTGCTTGTTTCGCTTAGCATAATACTCTTCAGGTCTCTCCATGTCATCTCAAAGGATAAAAGATCTTTCTTACAGCTGCATAGTACTTCATTGTGTATATGTACCACAGCTTTTTTATCCATTCATCTACTTATCCAGTCAGCTGTTCTGTGTCTTTTTATCGGAGCATTCAAACCATTTCCATTTAATGTGATTATTGATATGTACCTATTTATTGCCATTTTTGTTTAGTGTGGTTATATTTTTCTTCCTGTTCTACTGATTACAGCAGTCCTTTTAATATTTCTTGCAGTTCTGGTTTGGTGCTAATGTATTCCCTTAACCTTTTTTTGTCTGGGAAGTTCTTTATTAACCCTTCTATGTTGAGTGATAGCTTTGCTGGATAGAGTAGTCTTGGATTCAGATCCTTGTTTTTTATGACCTTGATTACTTCATGCCATTCCCTTCTGGCCTGTAGTGTTTCTGTTGAGAAGTCAGCTGAGAGCCTTATGAGGTTTTCTTTGTAGGTAACCTGTTGCTTATCTCTTGCTGCCTTTAGGATTCTCTGTGTCTTTAATTTTTGGCATTTTAATTACTATATGTCTTGGTGTGGGCATGTTTGGGTTCTTTTTACTTGGGGCCCTCTGTGCTTCTTGAACTTGAATGCTTTCTTCCTTCACCACGTAGGAAAGTTTTCTGTCACTATTTCTTCAAATATATTCTTCAACACTTGCCCATTTTCTTCTTCTTCGGGGACTCCTATGATCCGAATGATGTTATATTTTCAGTTGTCCCACAGTTCTCTAAACTGTCTTCCTGTTTTTTAATTGTTTTTTTTCCTTTTGGTTTTCTGATCGGTTGATTTTTTTTCTTTCTACCCTGTCTTCTAATTCACTGATCTGGTCCTCGGCTTCCTCTACTCTGCTGGTTAGTCCTTCCAATGTATTCTTTATTTCTGCTATGTCATTCTTCGTTTCTTCTTGGTGGTTTTTCATTTCTAATTGGTTGATTTTCAATGTTTCTATTTCTTTACTCATGGTGTTGATGTCCTTACTCATGCTGTTGAGCTTCCTCAAGGTCATGGCTCTGAATTCTAGCTCTTTTAACTTGCTTAACTGCTTTTCTTTTATTTAATCTTCGGTAGAGGTCTCTTGTTCTTTCATTTGGGGTTTGTTTCTTTGTTTCACCATTTTGGCTATCTCAGTGGGTTTTGGAGCCTGCCAAATTTTCCCTGTGGGTGTTGGTGTTCTTCTCTTTATGGCTCCCTCTACTGGGTTTGGATGAGCTGGAAGGACCCACATTAAACACCACTGTCAAGTCTTATTTTCCTGGGTAGAGTTGCAAGCCCAGGAAAGGTTCAGTTATCCTCTAGCTTTTTGCCTGGAGGCTATTAGTCTCAGATACTCAGGACTTTGGAATGTACACCTGGTGTTCTGTGAAAGAGGATTTCCAGAGGGTGGATCAGATGCTGGTTGTTAATAAGCC